GTGACACTCGCGTATGGTCTCATTCCTACCTTCTGCCTTCCCTCAAATGGTCCTTCCCTCACTCTCGTTCACCTCCCCCTTTTCCCCCTTTCCCTCAGCTCCCCTCCCTCCCTCTTTCAACGCTATCAGCTACACACTAGTAGCGGTCAACATTGCGGTTTTCCTCTTTGAGCTCGCCAGCCCTGTTCCTACCCTTCCGCCTTCCCTCACTCTCGTCCTCTTTCCCCCCTTTTCCGCCCCTCCCCCATCCTTGCCCTGTCACCTTCATCAGCTACACGCTAGTGGCAATCAACATTGCGGTGTTCCTGTTTGAGCTCGCCAGTCCCGAGGCGGTGCCAGGAGTGATCACCACGTCGCTGCCAGCGCTGCTCGCTGCCAAGGTCAACCCACTCATCGAGGCCGGCGAGTGGTGGCGCCTCCTCACGCCCTCCCTCCTCGTACGTCCACGTGCCCACCCGCTGCCCGCCACCTTCCCGTCCTTCCTGCTTCCAGCTTCTGATGGCGTATTGTCCTGCTTTCTCCTCTTGCCATTCTGAACAATCAGCTTCCAGTTCTTTCTATCCTCTATCGTTACCTGACCCAGCTTCTACCCGCACCCACTCCTCCCTCCCACTTCCCAAAACCCCCGTTCCCAGCATGCTAGCATCATCCATCTTTCGGTGGTCACGTTTTTCTTGCCTGCCATAGGCAGTGTCACAGTGTGTGTGCTGTACTCTGGTCTGGACTGGACCCATCACCATCACCATCCATCACCAGCTTACCTTACTTCTCCCCCCCCCACATACACCTCACCTCCCCTGCTCCACCCTTCTCCCACCCGCTGACAGCACGCGGGCATCATCCACCTGTCAGTGGGCACGTTCTTCCTGCTGGGCATCGGCAGTGTGCGTTGTACTGTGAACGTCACTTCCCCGCTCCACCCTCCCCCCCCACCCACTGACAGCATGCGGGAATCATCCACCTGTCAGTGGGCACGTTCTTCCTGCTGGGCCTGGGCAGTGTACTGGAGTTCGCCATCGGCCCCCTGGGCCTGCTCGCAGTCTACTTCTCCTCCGGCCTCGCAGGCAACATCACCTCGTTTCTGCAGACACCTGACGTTACCGTTGGCGGCACGGTGAGGGTCCCATTCCCTCTCTTTTCTCCCTCCCTTAGGCGTTCCCCCTGCTCCTCCTGTCTCCTTAGCCACTGCAACTCACCTCTTGTACTGCGGCGTCTCATTGTTCACCTCCATGGCTTCATGGTCACAGAACAGCCCCACACTCGCACAGACTTCTCCCTCGCACTCCCCATGCCCGATCACTCCGGTTTGCGTCACCCATGGCAATGCATCCTGCAGGGCCCAGTGTACGGGGTGGCAGCAGCGTATGCGGCGTTTCTGATAAAGAACCGGGAGGTGATCGGCACGGAGACAGCAGACAGCAATGTGCGCGAGTCGCTCATCATCGCTGCGCTCTTTGCCCTCTTTGCCAACCCCCTGCCCATCGACCCCTCGTGAGTGCCACTCCCGGCCGACTTGCTCGTGAATGATCAGGGAATTGGTATCATCTCTTTCTGTCAGGGAGGCGTTGGCAAGCGACAGGCCTACACGACACGTGGCTCCGCGAAACATGTTTCTCTTTTGGAAGAAAAGTAGTCCACGCCCGTCGCTCACACTCAGCTGAAGGGAAAGGATGGGCTCGCTAGAGGGGGCTTGTCTTACAGGTTAGCACTGCACACGCAATGCTGTCGTTGTTCCCCACTCAGACAGATGGTTGTGCCTGTCGCTTCATAGTTTTGGCATGTCTGCCGACATGGCACCTGTGGTGACCTCCAGCACTTAGTGTTCCCCCTTTGCATCCCACCCACTGCTTGGGGCAAACTTCTCACACATGCTTGCTTGCTTGTTCTGTGTACAAGCTCTTAATTTCAGTTTTCCCCATGGCCCTATCTCCCCCCCACAGCACCCATGCTGGAGCGGCACTAGCGGGCTTTCTTTTCGGCAGCATTGCAGCTCCAACCATGCGCAAAGTGAAGATATCCAATGAGGAGGCAGCCAAGCGGCAGCAAGGGCTTCTCAACTCTCTGCTCAGCCAGAAAACAAACGAGGAGTCGTATGAGCTGGTGGTGGAACCAGCTGACTCCAAGAAGCTGGCTACTGCTTTTGGGGCAACAATGGCACTTTCACTGGCGCTGTTCCAGTTGTCGCAAGGGATTCCGTTGGATGTTGATTTGTTGCAATCATTGCCCTCTGCAGACGGTGATGTCTGGTTGTGAGATTATGCATGGATCTGTATGAATATGGGAGTTTGGTAATGTTGTGCAAAATGCATTGTTACCGTATGATGTTCAAAAGTTCCAGTGCTTACTCATTTCTGAGCTCCTAGCCATTCCATGTATGTACTATGTTGGAAACACTGATTGTACAACTACATTGTTATTTCGCAACCCGAGTGCCCCAATAGAATGGTCATTGCGGTTGCTTGCGTGTGGCACAAGCACTTCACCCAGCAGGATCTGCGACGTGGCTCCCTTTGATTCCACGAAGCGTCACGTGGAGATCGTGGCTAATAGGCCCGTCTTGTTTTGTTTCCCACCTCTTAGCGGGAAACACGCTGTTTTTGACGAATGGTGTCGCGAGAATCCCTGAAGCCTGGGTGGGCAGGTATCCCTTCCTTCCAGCCCCTTCATCCCATCATCCGTCCAGGTCATTGCTACTCCATCGCAAATGGAATCTGTTCCACATGACCAGATACAGGCGGTGCTTTTCCTGTATCTGCCCCATGAAAATGGATCTTTGGTTGGAAATGCCCAAAATGTGCCTTTTTCATTTCCTTGGTTCAGACCGTGCCAGGTGCCCGCAATGTTGGGTTGCGCTCGAACTTGTCCGAACCGGATTTTTATTGTTGCTTCGGGCAGTGCTGGCTGGCGAACTGACCACGGCTGAACTGACGTTTCTGGCAATTTCAGTTCGGGCGGGGCTGTCGGTCCCGAAGCAACTTCAGGCTCGGTAGGGTTTGGTTTTTGCTTGCTTGGCCTCTGCCCCACCTCCGAGCATCCGTTCCCTCACCACCACCATGCATACTCTGATTTCATCTCCGTAGGCTCATTGCTCATATGCTGCTGGCCTTTGACAGTTGGTCCAACGTCCGCTACTCACTCTTCCCGTTCCATTTTGAACTCTCCAGCCTCGATCTGGCACAAGGACTGCTTTACTCTTGTTCTGCTCCGTCTTCTAGTTTCTGTACTTGTCATTGCTGCGTTTGTGCGGCATGGCGACAGTGACTTCCCAGCAGCTTTGCAGTTTAACAGGTATAAGTTCCAGCTGCAACGTCCGCTCGAACGAGTCTGCGTCGTTCAGCAGAGCTCTATTTCCTGCTAGGCTCCCTAAAAGCAATGCCAGGTTGAGCTCGTCATGGAACGAGGCGGAGCGACGGAGGCACGTGCCTGTACAGTCAGCCATGGAAGCCATGGAAGAAGCGACTTTCGAGCCTCGTTTCAAGCCTTGGGAGGCTCAGAGCTTCTTGAAGGAGAATTTTCCTCAGACGCCACAGGTTCCTTCGCGAACTCTTGTACCTAGCGACAGGGCTGATGATTTGTCGCTGCACAACCCGTTGAGGAGACTGGAGCGCATGGGATGCGGATGGCTGGCCGTGCTGTTGGAGTGGGAGGGGGTGGTGATTGAAGACGATTCTGTTTTTGAACGACAGGCGTGGATAGCTCTTGCGGAAGAGGAAGGCCGCGCCCAGCCTCCCGTTTGGATCCTTAAGCGGGCAGAAGGCATGAAAAACGAGCAGGTTATTCGCGAAGTGCTTTGCTGGTCGCGCGACTTCATGACTGTACGGAGATTGTCGCAGAGAAAAGAAGAGCTGTATGAGCAGTTTCAGGGAGGTTGCTACAGGCTTCTCCCCGGCTCCAGAGAATTTCTGGACACCCTAAAGCGGTGCAAGATCCCGGTGGCAATTGTGTCGACTCGTCCGGCGAGATACTTGGAGCGAGCGGTTGAGGCTGTGGGCATGGAGGGCTTCTTCGATGCTGTCATTTCCGCGGATGACGTGCAGAGAGGAAAGCCGGATCCCGAGATGTACCAGGTGGGTCTTAGCAACTTCGTTAACCAGTGTTGCTGGTAGTTCTTTGTTGTCAATCTCGGATCATGGTGGGCAACGCTCTTGACAACGTTTTGGACAATTTTTCATGATTTCGTGTTATAACCTATTCTGTTGCAGTATGCGGCACAGCGACTGCAATTCATTCCCGAGCGTTGCATCGTCATTGGTAGCTCCAACTCCACTATAGAGGCGGCTCACGATGCTTACATGAAGGTGGGCACCCTTACTCTGTCGATTTCCTTCCGCATCTGTTTCATTCTGTACTATGTTACTGACACATCCTTGTGTGTTCTCCTCTCAGGTTGTCACCGTTGCAGGAAGGCACCCAGTGTATGAGTTGGGTGCTGCGGATCTAGTGGTTCGCAAGTTGGACATGCTATCCGTGGTCGATCTCAAGAACCTGGCGGATCTAGACTCGCCGGAATTCACGCCACCGCCTGAGCTAGAGCCGGAATTAGAGCCGGAAACCAAGAGAACTGGTGTTGGCACCTTGTGAAGTTCAAACGGCCTAAAATTCGTTTGTTCATGTCGTACATTTGTTATCATGTCATGCTATTGGCTGGATGCTCCAGCTTGAATTGTAAATAGTTTGTTACTAGGCTTGTCCTCTGTGTCCACACCCTTGACAGGTGTTAACCATACAATGAGCTGCTTGTCCTGCCTGCCTAGGGTTTGTTTGATTGAAATAGCTCCATCATGTGACTCCATTAAACTTTGAAAAAAAGTTGGGGCGTGTTCCTACGGTCTTACATCAGGATACCTCATATCAATAATGCTGTTAAAACCTGGTAAAACTAGCGAGGGGTTTTGGGTTTAGGGGAATTACCAGTGTAAGCTTGATATGAGGTTGTCTTGATTTGACGATAGGAACACGCTCCTATCATACACACACACACAAGCATGTAGCGGTTATCATCACCACACTGCCCTCCTAGCTGTGGAGCCCTGCAGGAACGAATGAGTGTGCCATCCCTTGTCTTTCAACCCCCTGAGCATGTGTGGCAGCAGCTGCTCCATCTCTCCATATGCCTCCCGCACACTCCCCTCCCAGTCACCCCATCCAGCACCCCCTGTGCTGCTCTTTCCAGCTACCTGTGCCTTTCTGCTGATTGCCTGGCTGATGCAGGACGCTAGCAGCCAAGCTCTGATTGCATCCTGGCCGTCCGCTGTCTTGTGGAGGATCAGATGCATCTTCCGAGGGACACCACCCGCTGCGTCCCGTTCCGGGCAGCTGAGAAGAAACTTCTCATTGGAGAAGAGTTTTTTCAGCTTGGCCAAGTCGCTTGGGGATCCCAGGGCTTCTGCAAGAGGAGCTCCCACACACAACCTGCTGCTGCTGCTCGTGCTCTTGCTGTTGCTGCTGCTGCTGTTGGTGCTGGTGGTGGCAGTGTTGGTGGTGGTGGTGGCGCTAGCAGTGCTGCTGCTCCTACCACTGCTGATCTTATTGCCTACATGTGGTGCAGGCTGGAGGGCGAGGCGGTGGGCAGCAGGCAGTGTGAGCGGCGGGTCGGGCTTCACAATGTTCTCCCTCCACCGCATGTCCACTGGACTCAGTAGCTCGCCACTCTGATACACACCAGGGAGAGGAGAGGAGAGGAGCGGGGGCATTGGTGGGAAGAGATCATGTAAGAAACCGCATGAAAACATTTCCCAGGCATGTGGTAAATAAAACGCTGCTGCATGTCTGCTGTGCTCGATAGCTTGCTGCTCTGATGAGCTTCAGCGAGGTGACTAAAAGCACTCGGCGACTCACGGAGAGGAAGTGGTTGATGAGAACGTTGGTGCGCTGAGCGTTGAGAGTGTTGATTGGCACGGCCCTCATCTCCTCTGTCACCGACCACAGATGCACCGCCGCCAGCACCGGCACTGCTGCCAGCTGTAGGTGCAGGTGGGTGGCACCGTGGGGAGAGGTGAGCAGAGAGATGAGTCGACAGGCTTGGTGGAGCATGGCGGGATGAGGAGATGAGTTGGGTAAAAAGAAAACCTCAGCTTGTGCTGAGTCGACAAATAGTTACCTTAGCTTGTGCTGTCTGGCAGACAGAGGAGGCGAGTTTGAGGCCGAGGGCCAGGCCAGCGAGGGAGGAGAGGACGCTGATGGCCTCGCCCTTGGCATACAGATCGCTGATGTTGCCCTCCTTTGCAAATGCATCGTACAGCGGCAGACGCGTGGCACGAGCTATCACCAGTGATAGGCCCTGTGGCGAAGAAAGTGGGTGGGTGGGGAGAGCAGGAGGGAGGAGAGGACGCTGATGGCTTCGCCCTTGGCGTACAGGTCGCTGATGTTGCCCTCCTTTGCAAATGCATCATACAGCGGCAAGCGGGTCGCTCGTGCGATTACGAGTGAGAGGCCCTGTGGTGGGGAGAGTGGAGGGAAGGAGGGGTGTGCACTTAAAGCCCTTTGCGTACAGACTGCTGATGTTGCCCTCCTTTGCAAACGCATCATACAGCGACAGACGCGTGGCACGAGCTATCACCAGTGACAGGCCCTGTGGTGGGCAGGGTGGGTGGGAAGCAGTGCGCCATGAGGGGGGAGAGAGAGGCAGGAGCAACAATGCACACAGAAATAGAATCTGAGAGCGCATCAAATGCATCAACACATGACCTCACGCTCACCTTCCCTGCGTTGGCGAGCCCAGCGAGCAACAAAAAGCGGTGGGGCATGAGCGGGGAGAGGCACTCAAGAAAGGCCCCCACATCACACACAACGTCAGCAGCAATGTGCCAGCGCTTGGGATCTTGCTAACATTTTATTGAGGCACCTCAAGATTTCTTTAGCACCTCAAGACTGTATCAGCACGCGGCCCCAATCTCACCTTCCCCGCGTTGGCGAGGCCAGCGAGCAGCAAAAAGCGGTGGGCATGAGAGGCGAGAGGCACTCGAGGAAGGCCCCAACGTCACACACGACACACCAACCCACGGCCTCTCACTCACCTTCCCAGCATTGGCGAGCCCAGCGAGCAGCAGGAAGCGATGCGGCATGAGCGGGGAGAGGCACTCAAGAAACGCCCCAACATCACAGACAACGTCAGCGGCCACGCGCCAGCGCTTGGGATCGGCGTCCATGCTGCGCCCGAGACGACTGGTTTTGGGACTTTTCATAGATTGAATGACAGGAGCATTGAATGCATCGACAAATGGCCTCCCTCACTCACCTTTCCCGCGTTGGCAAGGCCAGCGAGCAGCAGAAAACGGTGCGGCATCAAGGGGGAAAGGCACTCAAGGAACGCGCCCCGACGTCACACACGACGTCAGCGGCCACGCGCCAGCGCTTGGGATCGGCATCCATGCTGCGCCCGAGATGACTGGCTTTGAGACGTCTCTAAGAGAGCATCCCATTGAGCATTGAATGCATCAACATACGGCCTCTATCACTCACCTTCCCCGCGTTGGCAAGCCCGGCGAGCAACAAAAAGCGGTGGGGCATGAGCGGGGAGAGGCACTCCAGAAACGCCCCCACATCGCATACGACGTCAGCGGCCACGCGCCAGCGCTTGGGATCGGCGTCCATGCTGCGCCCGAGACGACTGGCTGCGATCTTGCTGGCATGCTGCATGCCGTCCTTCACCACCCAGCTCACTATGGTCGCCTGTACTGGCGTGGGGCGCAGGCCTGCCGCGAAGAGCAGCGACTGGAGTGGCGTGGGAGTACAGAGACAAAGGGGAGATAAGGGTTCTCAGGTGCTGGCATGCTGCATGCCGTCCTTCACCACCCAGCTCAATATGGTAGTCTGTGCTGGCGTGGGACGCAGGCCTGCTGGAAAGAGGAGAGACTGGTGTGTGGGAGGGAGAAAAGAAAGGGGAGATAGGGAGGTTTGGTTGTGCTCCCAGTGCAGCACTGCATCCCGTCCTTCACCACCCAGCTCACTATGGTGGCCTGCGCTGGCGTGGGGCGGAGAAAGGCTGCGAATAAGAGGGACTGATGTGTGGTGGGAGGGAGGGAGGGGGGTATGGGGATTGAAAGGGAGGTCACATGGGTCCCGAGCGACAATGATCCCAGAGCTGCGCTGCATCCCGTCCTTCACCACCCAGCTCACGGTTGTGGCATGCGCTGGCGTGGGACGCAGCTCAGCTGCAAAGAAGAGGGACTAGTGTGTGGTGGGAGGAGGGCTGGGGTGGAATGGGGGCGGTGGAATGCGGTGTGGATGTCGTGTCGGACTGTGGGAGTGGGAGTGTGGGAGTAGCAGTTTAAGGGCGTCGTGGGAGTGGTGAGCAGCCATGTACGTGAAAGTACTCGAGACAGGCACGTGCCGCTCACCTGAGTGGAGAGCACGTTGAGAGCAGCCACAGCAATGTGCTGAATACCCCTGTACTGCGAGAACAGCATGTAGCCCTCTGCCACGCTGGAGAGAGGGGGGAGGGGAGAAAGGAGAAATAGTGGGAAGTGGGAGGAGAGCGGGATGGAGGGATGGTGGGTTAACGCCTCTGTCCTAATAGCCTTACCCTACTTGCTGGGTTTACATAACATACCTAACCCATACCTATCAGGATAGCCCCACCTATCCAGATAGGCCCATCTATCAAAATGGTGTGGTGTACCTATTGGGGTTGGGGTAACCCATGGGGAAGAACTTGTCCTTGAAGGCTGCTATGAGGCGATCGGGGATGGAGCATGTGATATGGGTGTTGGATACTTAATTGTCGGAATAGCCCTATTCGTTGGGGTAGCCGTATTCGTCGGGATAGCTCTACCTATCGGGATGGCATAGCCCTACCTGTCAGGATAACCCATGGGGAAGAACTTGTCCTTGAAGGCGGCTATGAGGCGATCGGGGATGGAGCGCGTGTCTGGTACGATGTGCCCCTGCCATGCCGCATGTGCCATACCATGCCATGCAATGCAGTGCAATGCAATGCCATGCAGTGCCATGACGTGCCATGCCGTGCCATGCCATGTCATGCCGTGTGTACGCCACCACCATGCCGTGCCATGCCATGACATGCCGCATGCCATGCCAGGTCGCATGCAATGGGGTGAAAGGAAGAATAGGTTGGGTGAATCTGTGCATCATGGAATAGCAGGTGAGGGAGACTGACAGGGCTTTTTCAAGACAATGCATGTAGGGATTACCTAAAGAAAAGGAGGGGGGAGGATGAGGAGGGGAGGGGGAGAGGGGAAGGGAAGCAAACCGCTTGCATGGCTTAAGCCTCACTAACCCCTCAAGCCTTCTCCCCAACCCACACTCTCTCTATCCCCTCTCAATGCCCTCCGTTCCCCTTTCCTCCTTATAAAAACACTAACCTCAATCAAATCGCCGCCGCCCCCCACAAGTTGGTACTCGCGCTTCTGCCCGTGATTGGAGCCTTCCACCCACATGGCTCGGCACGCGCCTTCCACGTGCTTCCCCACTCCCGCCACGTGGCGACCTGCCGCAGCCAGAGCATTTTCCCCGTGGCCGCTCCTCCCCCCGGCCATTCTGACAAAAAAACTGCTTATGCAGAAAACTGATGGTTACTTGAACTTATGCGCACTGTCCTGGTCAGAGGCAATTTCTGTGCTGATTTCACCACCAACAAGTGGACGAGGGACCAATGGCGTGTTGCGCGATTGTAAAAAAAACTAAGTTACAGCCGCAATGCGGAGGAGGAACTGTGGGAAACGAAAGGAAAGGAATTGGTGAGGATGTAGGATCTTTCAGCAATGTTGCCTGCCTTGATGCTGATCAGAAAGTGTGGCGAGCAGCAGTTTATTTGAAATGGTGGGATTCGGTGGAGTGGGGTGGGAGTACGGCAGATGGGATGGATGGGATTGATGCGGGGTTCAACAAAATTGGCCTCTGGCAACACCAAGGGGCGTGAATGTTTGGATAAACCACTCGCTCGTCGTGACTGTGGGTGGCGAAAGTGAGAAACGCGAGCATATAACTCGGGTAACCAGACGCTTAGCATGTTTCTCGAAACGAGGTTAGCTGCAATGATGAATGATACTTGCGGTGTACACTTAGGAAGCCGTTCAATCCTTCCCGCCAAATGTTGCATGCATTTTCAGGCATTCGGATTCTCATTTCACCTCAAAGCGCGTCTCGACTTTCGCCCTTCCCACCCTCTCCCTCCAACTTCAACCTTTCCGCATTTCTGCTTCCCAGGTTTGTAGAAACCAGGTTCTTTCTCCTTCTATTCGGCTTCTCTCCTACCGCAACCCCTCAGCTGGTTTCTCTTGTTCTCGATTGGACCGCTCTTCGCGCGGCTGTAGTCTTGGATGGCCGCTTTCTCTTTAAAGGCGATTCCAGCCTGACTGCATACCTGAGCCGGCTTGAGGGATTCATTCGAGTTTATCCGTACTTTATAAGCCTAGCACACACTTCACAGCTCGAACGTTGCGGTGCAGACAGCGAGGTTGATCGTCAATTGTAGGCGCATCAGTTCTTTACCTGTTGGTGGACATGGGCTGTTAATGTATACTTACACTTTGGCAGATTGATTGCTGGTGACTCGAGACGACCGAGCTCAGCACGTCGATGTAGCAGCAGGTCGTTTGTAAGCCAAGGTTCCACATTGCGCCTTCGCACTGCCTCGCGGAAAGTGTTAGTAGCGGCGGTGGTAACGCCCGTATGTTGTAGAGTTAGTGTCGCACGTTAACGACAGCGAGACGAGATGGATGTGAGGGAAGTTGCGGAGGAGCTCCGCTCAAGATTCCCCTGCCGGAAGCGACAGGTCAGTAGGCCAAATCATCTTATCTGTTATCATGTCTTCAAATTGCAATCTTTCAGTTTCGCTTGTCACATCGTACCTTTCCCAGTCCTTTTTACTTTTCCAGGATACTTCCTGCTTTTAAACTCCCTCTCATCCCGCCCCCTCATTCCAACTATCACCACGGATCTCGCCCGCCACGTGGCAGATCGAGGACATTCTCCTACACGTCGGAGGACCGTTCGATCGCATGCCGCCGCTCTTCCTCTGTGGGCCATCAGGCACGGGCAAAACAGCCGTGATCCGAGCGGCGCTTACGCAGATGCGCCGTCCCCACGTCTACCTCCCCCTCACCTCCGCCTGCGGCTCCCAGCAATCCGTCTACCACGCGGTTCTGACCCAGCTGGCCCAGCAGCAGCAGCAGCAGCAGCAAGGGGAGCAGCAAGGGGAGCAACAAGGAGAGCAGGCACGAGAACGGACATGCGTGTTGCCTGCAATCCCCGCTTCCTTCCACTCCACCATTCCCAACCGTGCTGTATTTCTGAAGGCACTGCTGCGGGTTTTGTCAGGGGAGGCGGAAGGGGAAGGGGAAGATGCGGAAGCGGAAGGTTTTAACGATGAAAATGGGGAAGAGGAGAGAGGTGAGAGGGAAGGGAGCGAGGGAAAAGAGGAGGAGCAGGAACGAGAGGAGAGGAGGAAGAGACGTAAGGGTGCAGATGGTGAAGTGTGTGTGGGAGGAGACGGGAAGAAGAGAGGGGAGGACGTGATCACATGGGAAGGGGACGAAGAGAGGAGGATCACTCGAGGGATGCTCCGAAGCAGACTAGCTGCGACCCCTGTTGCTGCCAACTCTACGGCTGTTACCTCCTCTATTGCTGCCTCCTCAGTGGCTGCCACGGCTGGTGCAGCGCACCAAGAAACAGACAGTGACGAGGGTCGGCGCAGCAAAGAGCAGAGCTATGGAGGGCGCGAGGAGGCAGCAGGAGAGTGTGCGTTGCAGCATGAGGAGGCAGCGCTGCGAAACAAGAGGGCAGCGCAGCAGCCGCCAGCGTCGCCCCGCCATGCGAAACGGCCCACGGTGCACACGCAGGCAGAGGCGGATGATGCGAGCGGAGAGCGGGAGAGGGCGGGAGCGAGCGGGCTGTGGTTCGTGATGAACGGCGGTGGGCAGGCTGGGGGTGTGGGACCCGCGGATGAGATGGAGGAGGGGGAAGTGAGGAGTGAGGACGGTGAGGAGGAAGAAGGACAGGAGGCGGGATTCGAGGTGGAGGGGGAGGAGAGAGGAGAAGAGATAGAGGGGCAGAAGGAGGGGGATGAGGAGGGGGGCGAGGGGTACGAAGAGGATGACGATGTGATTGAGGTGGGTCCTGTTGCGGTAAGGATTCAGCTGGTAAAGCAGCAGGAGGAGGAGGAGCAGATGGAGCAGCAGATGCTGCAGGACGTACTGGTGCAGGAGCAAAGGCCCGGCAGCAGAGAGAAGCACAAGGGTCTAGGAGGACCAGGAGAAGGAGGAGGAGGCCCCACCCACCCAAGTGCGAGGCGCTCCTTGGCTGCCGCATTCGCAGGTGCAGAGGGCACCAAAGTGGCGGATGACGGAAGGAGGCAGGCTGCCTGTGAGAATGGGGCCGCTTCTACGGGCCCGCAGTGCAGCCCTCGTGCAGCGGCCGATAAGGAACCGCAAGCCTGCCTGGTGAAGCCCTGTATTGATGCTACAGTGTACCTCGTTATAGACAACCTGGAGCAGCTCAAAGCCTTCCCTGCAGGGGAAGGCCCGCAGCTGCTGGAAACGTTCCTCCGCCTGCCCGAACTGTTGGGGCAGTCCAACTTAGGGCTAATCCTAGTGAGCAAGCTGGACTGGGCGTCAACTTGTGGGCTTGGCGCTGCAGGGATGGGGGGTGGGGGCAGCTGGGGCGGAGGCTGGGGAGGCGGATGGGGAGGCGGATGGGGAGGAGGAGGGGCAGCAACAGCAGCGGCTATGGCAGTGGCGGCATGTGAGCCAGTGACGGTGTTCTTCCCACCGTACAGCGACAAGGAACTGGAAACGGTTCTCGTGGGCATGAGGCCGAATCAGCCGCTCTTCCTCTCCTTCCTCAGGTACTCCACCCACACTCGTTCCCACCCGTCCATCTGCTCTCACATACCTTCCACCTGGACCCTCCCCTTCTCCCCCTGCCCTGTCCGTTAACCTCCTGTAACATATCCTTTCCCGTCCACCAGTTTTTCAATCTCAGTTGCCATTTATGAACCTTCCCGACCCTGCGTTCCCCACTGCAGGCAGGTGGTTCCAGTGTATACCCGTGCCTACCGCTCCCTGCCGCACCTCGCCTCGCTCGTGGACCACTCCTGGCCGCTCTACACCGCTCCCATTGCCACAGGCTCTGTGTCCCCCGACCACCCCAGCTGTGCTCGCCTGCTGTATATGAGAGCACAGGAGCACATAGGAACCACACTCAAGCAGCCCGTCTCAACCCTCGTACGCTCGTCAGTCGTGGATACTCCTGCTGTTGCTGCTACTGCTGGAGCTCCAATGGACGTTCCAGATCTTCCCATCATGACAAGATTCGCCCTTGTCGCAGCATTTACCTGCTCCCGCAACCCAGCACCGTCAGATGTAACCCTTTTTAACTTCTCGGACTCCGCACAGCCCGGTGGAAGCGGGTTTCGGTCCAGGAGGAAGAGGAAGGCAAGTGCAGGGGACCTGGACAAGCAGGCTAGAGAGGCCAGGGAGGCTCAGCAGCACGGCCCCATTCCCTTCCCTCTTTCGCGCTGGCTGCTCATGGCTCACCACTTGGTGAAAGCTCACTGGTCCTCTCCTCTCGCCTCGGTTTCTAGTGGTGGTGCTGCTGAGTCAGCTCCTGCTGTGGATGACAGCTTGCTGACTCAGCTTGCGACTCTTGTTCGCGGTGGGCTGGTGAGCCAGTCAGGGGAAGACAGGCTGGCTAGCACAACACGCTTCAAGTGCAGTGCGAGAAAGGAACTGGTGAAGCAGGTATGACGATTTAAGAGGAGGGAAGGAGCAGATGGAAGGGGATTCAGGGAGGTGGCTAAGGGAGGAATCCAGGGAGGTTATGGAGTGGCTGGGGGAGAGGAGGGAGGAGATGGAGGGGATTTTTTTTCCGGTTTGCTTTTTATGCATTGCTCTGGTGCTCATGTGAGTTGTGTTGTTGTGCCTAATGGTCGTGTCCGTGGGCTTTGGGTGCGTTTTGCATGGGGCGTGCAGGTGGCGAACACTCTTGGCATTCGACTGGAGCAGCTTCTGCTTTTTGGTTAGTAGTCTCATCTCCTTGTCCACGGTGAAGGACTTGACAATATATGCAAGCAAGCAACGACTTGCGCAGTGGATAACTTCTTCCTCCAGTTAATTAAATATAATTTGTTCCATGACTGGCTGTTGTGGGCCTTCCTTTTTGAAATAAACCTGGGTGGGTCTCAACTCAGCCAGCATGTTCACTTAGAGGTGAGAAGCTTTATTTGGGAAGTTAACCTTGGATGATTTATGCAAGACCGAAAGAGACACTCGATTCAGCAGGAGCATTACTACAGCACAAGCCTCAACTACCTACCTATATAGTGCACTGTAGTGCACCCGCTTTTACAGGAAGTCAAGGATGCTCCATTGGCCCCAGATTTCCTCCTTGCCACATAAGCTCAAGCCAGGTTTGACTTGGCACGTGTTTTCCTCTGCTTGGATTGCGTGAGCGGGTGTGCTGCATCTATGATAATATCGCGCGGGCTCTCCAATCATTGTACGCTCTGATCGACGTGGCTTGGCTGTCAGTCAACTCGCCATTCCTTGTAACGAGCCCACCTCCTTTCCTTCTAAGCAAGAGGAGCAACCGCACTTCAATCACGGTTCTAGCGAGTAATACGTTTTGAAACGTAACAAACCGAACAAGACCGCAACTTTGCGTGGTGGATTCTTTGGACAGGAGAATTTCGAAGAAAGTCTGGTGTAGCATCAGCCGAGACTTGTACTGACCTCACCGCATTGGTCTGCATTGCCTGCAAAACTCGCTCCATGGATTTCCGGTCTTCCCGGCTCCGCATTTTTCTGGACCAGGGAGGCTGTCCGCTGTACATAAATTTCAGACGAGACTGACCATCGACTGTTCCAATTCCGAGGTTGCGAGATGCAATCTGGTAGGAACCACCCGATTGGCGCCCTAGGCGTGTCCCCGTATTTTGAGACTTCGTAGCATACGATAGTGTGACTGTTCAAAGCTTGTTAAGGACAAGAGAGTAATTCCTTTCGAATGAATTTCCAGCAATGGCGGTGGTTAATCCATCACCAATCATATCCCACCTGACGTGTCCCCATCTGCCATCTTTCGCCTGCCAGCTGTCATGGGCCGTCCTCAGGACTGTCAACCTCCCCGCATTAGCCGCCGCTTATTCCTCCTCAGCCAATGGCGGCTCGAAAGCATCAACGCGTCCGCACACCCAAAGCACGCCACCAAACTCATCATCAATACCCCACAGAACCACACAGCACCGAGCCGTTGTCACGAACTCGTACCCGATTGCACCCGCAAACCCCATACCCGATGGCCTACGAAGCACTATCCATGACCGTTCACAGGTTCACCCAGCCTTTTCCCCCCTCCCACCGCAATCTCCCCACTACCGTTCCGCGGCCACCCGTCCTCCCCGAGCCTCTTGGCCCGGAGACAGAGCCTCAGGCTCGGCGTCCTCCATAGCTGTCGCAGGTCCGGGCTTTAACTCCCTCTCGGCGTGGCTCTTAAGGCGAGGTCTGAGCACGGACCGGGACGGTGGGGAGAGAGGCGACACAGGGCTCAGCGACCTGGGTCCGGGCATGGGCTTGGGCCGGGAGGGCCCGTCCGCGCAGGCGCTCATGCCGCCGGGTCCGCGGGACGACCTCCGCGCGGGCGCGGGCGCGGGGGAAGGCGCGGAGGCGGAAGGCGCGGAGGCTGCACCAGCGGAGGACGACCATTTACCGGAGGACGATCAGGAGGCGGTGCTGGATTCGGTGGTGAAGGTGTACGCCGTGGGGAGCAGCCCCAACTACCGCCTGCCCTGGCAGAACAAACCGCAGCGCGAGGTCACCGGCTCAGGTGAATCCGGATCTGATTAGACTCTTGCAAACACCCCTAAGTGTCCCGCTCACCGTATCTCCGCCGCTCGCTGTTTCCTGCTCTCTGACGCAACCTTCCACTTCCGTCTGCACCCTCCCTTCCCGTGTGCAAGCCCGCAAGGCACTGGCTCGCAGTCTCACTCTCCCTCCGCCCGCCCACCCCCGCTGCCCCCTTGCGTTGGTGTGGGCGAGCAGGGTTCGTGATTATGGGCCGTCGGATCCTCACGAGCGCGCACATCGTGAACTCTGTGTTCGCCCTGTCCCGCTCCCCTCCCTCCCCCACAAAGCGCCCCTATCCCCCCCCCCCACGCCCTGGGTCTGCGGTGGTGCGGGCGAGCAGGGTTCGTGATTATGGGCCGTCGGATCCTCACCAGCGCGCACATCGTGGCCGACCAGGCGTTCGTGCTCGTGAGGAAGCACGGCTCGCCCAAGAAGTACCTCGCGCAGGTGAGACCAGACCATGCAGGAGGTGTGTGTGTGGGAGGTGTGTGCGGGAGGGGCCCTGAGGGGGATTGAGAACGGTGGGTTGGGGTTGAGGGGTACCCCCATCAGGAGTCGTGCTCGTGAGGAAGCACGGCTCGCGCTAAAAGTACCTCGCCCAGGTGTGTGTAGGCGGTGTGGGTGTGTGTGTGTGCGGGAGGGGCCCTGAGGGGAATTGAGAAGGGTGGGTTGCGGTTGAGAGGTACCACCACGAGCCGTTCGTGCTTGTGAGGAAACACGGCTCGCCCAAAAAGCACCTTGCTCAGGGGACAGCGTGTGTGACGGAGGTGGGTTGGGGTGCGGGAGCATCAGTCCCCTTTCTTCCTCCCTTTATTCCCTCCTTGACCCAGCCACCTACCCCTGTCTTCATTCCCCAACCTGACCCAGCCACCTTTTCCCTCCCTTCACGTTCCCCTGTCCTGACCCTCAGCATCCCCTCCCCCCACCAAGTGCTAGCAGTGGTGCATGAGTGCGACCTGGCGCATCCCTCCAGATTCTCCCGCGCCTGGAGCTCCCTCTCCCCCACCCTTTGACCCCGCCCCCTGCCCCCAAATCCTCCCAACCCTCCCCAACCCCCTCCATCTCCCCCACCACACCAGGTGCTAGCAGTGGTGCATGAGTGCGACCTGGTGCATCCCCCTCCTCTCCCTTTGACCCCCTCCTGCCCCCGCACTCTCCCCCCCCCCTCCCCTTCCCCCTCTCCCCCCCACCAGGTGCAAGCAGTGGCGCACGAGTGCGACCTGGCGCTGCTGACAGTGGGGGAGCCAGGCGCGGGGGGAGGGGGCATGGGCGGAGGAATGGGGGGAAGGGGAGGGCACCACGAGCATGAGCACGATCACGACGACCACCACCACCATGACAGATTTGGGGAGGATAAGGGCGGCGGGGGAGCGGGGGGACGGGGCGGGGGCGCCATGGGGGATTTCGGGGGCGGGGGGATGGGGAGGGGGGGCGGGGGCGGGCTGGGGAGCCGAATGGGCGGGGGGAAGGGGATGGGGGGGGATATGGGGATGGGGATGGGGGGGATATGGGGATGGGGATGGGGGGAGGGGGAGGCGGGGAGAGGAGTGGGGGGAGCGGGGGGGAATGAGGAGTTCTGGGCGGGGCTGAACCCGCTGCCTCTGGGGGATGTGCCTCAGCTGCAGGAGTCGGTAGCTGTGGTGGGGTACCCTCAAGGTGAGATGGAGAGGGTATAGTTGGATGAAAGCGGAGCAGTCCCTTTATCCCAACTCTTCATGCGTCTATTCATCCACGCCCTCCTCTACATGCCATGCGGCTACGTGACATGCACCTACTTGCCGTACACCACTCTCCCCCCCAACCCTACCAGGAGGAGACAACATCAGCATCAGCATGGGAGTGGTGTCTCGGGTCAAGCCCACCAAGTACGCGCACAGCGGAGCGCACCTGCTGGTCATCCAGATATCCACTGTGCTCACCTCACTGCTCCCTTCCCTCACCTCCCCCTTCCCACCCACCCACCAACCCCCCAGGAGGAGACAACATCAGCATAAGTATGGGGGTAGTCTCACGCGTCGAGCCACCAAGTACGCACACAGCGGGGTGCACCTGCTGGCCTTACAGATCGACACCCCACTCAACTCACCTCTCCCGTCCCATCCTAATCCCCACTGGTTCCCACCCACCAACCCTGTCAGGCGGCGACAACATCAGCATCAGCATGGGAGTGGTCTCACGCGTGGAGCCCACCAAGTACGCACACAGCGGGGCGCACCTGCTGGCCATCCAGATTGATGCGGCAATCAACCCCGGCAACAGCGGGGGACCCGCCCTCATCATGACCCACGTGCCCGTCGCGGCAGGAGATAGCACCACCAGCAGTGCTGCTGCTGATGCTGCTGCTGGCGCGTACGGCAGCAGCAGCAGCAGCAGTAGTGGTGGTGGTGGTAGAGAGACAAGCAGAAGCGGTGGCAGTGGGAATGGAAGGGATTTGATGAATTCACACCGCATGGATTCTCAACTGCAGGGAGAGTCTGCTGGTAAGGCAGGGGGGATGCAGCGGCGATCAGGGTTGGAGGAGGAGAGCGATTCACCCAGCATAAAGGGGCTGGGCTGGGGGGACGAGGGCGGGGACGTGATGCTGGGGCTAGGGGGGGAAGGTGGGCGGGAGGAGTGGGAGGGGGAGGAGGGGGAGGAGGAGGTGGGGGTGGGAGGGGGTTGGGCGGAGATAGAAGCGGAGCGGGCGGCAGAGGAGGCGGCGGCGAGGGCGACACCGGTGGCGATGAGAGTAGAGTACCGCGTAGTGGGGGTGGCTTTCCAGAACCTCACTGGGGCTGAAAACATCGGGTGAGCACAGCATAGTGGGTGTGAGCAACCCCCCCCTTATTGTGAAAGAAATGGGGTGAGTTTTGAGGTGCCTTAAAAGGCGATGAGGTGGGGGTGGTGGGGGTGGCGTTTCAGAACCTCACTGGGGCTGAAAACATTGGGTGAGTGCAGTACACTCTCCTGCGTTTCCCCCTTCGCCCCCCAACAGAGTCCCCATCCGAACAGCCACTGGTGGTGTAAGCCCCCTTTTCACATGTACATCGTGCCCATGCACCGCCGCCCAGTCTCACTCATGCCTCCCCTCCATGCCTCTCCATGGCCTCTCTCTCCCCTCCCCCCCCTCGCAGCTACATAGTACCCACGCCCATCATCCACCGATTCCTGCACGATGCAGCGCTGCACCACCACCGCTTCCACGGCTTCTCCTCCTTGGGCGTGGCATGCCAGCCGCTTGACAACTGGCAGCTGCGCGCGCACCTGCGCCTGCCGCCGACTGCTACAGGCGTGCTGGTGAACGCGGTGCAGCCTCTCAGTGAGAGCAGCCGGTGGATCAAGAAGGACGATGTGTTGACTGCATTCGACTGCGTGCCTATAGCCGATGATGGTTCCGGTGAGTGAGACAGAGGGTTTCTAGCGCCTCAGAACCTCAAAAATAGACACGGCTTCTCCTGCCTGGGCGTGGCATGTCAGCCGCTCGACAACTGGCAGCCGCGCACCTGCGCCTGCCGCCCTCCGCCACGGGCGTGCTCGTGAACGCGGTGCAGCCTCTCAGCGAGAGCAGCAGGTGGATTAAAAAGGACGATGTGTTGACTGCCTTGGACTGCGTGCCTATCGCTGACGATGGCTCCGGTGAGTGTAGCATGGGTGCAATCTCCCACACAAGCGCTGGTGATTGTCAACAGGCGGGTGGGCTCGCCCGTGAACTTGTTGAAGGAATCAGCGCACGGGCGAGCCCACCCACCTGTTCCTGCCACCCTCCGCCATGGGTATGCTTGTGAACGCGGTGCAGCCTCTCAGCGTGAGCAGCCGGTGGATCAAGAAGGACGACGTGTTGACCGCGTTTGACTGCGTTCCTAAAGCGGATGATGGGTCTGGTGAGTGGTGGAGAGGAGGGGATTGATGGGTTTGGTGAGTGGTGGAGAGGAGGGGATTGATGGGTCTGGGGAGTGGTGGAGAGGAGGGGATTGATGGGTCTGGTGAGTGGTGGAGAGGAGGGGATTGATGGGTTTGAGCAGGGCTGCTACAGTCAGGGCATCTGATCTGATCATCTACTGAAGGAACACCACTTATTGGTGGTGGTAGACATTGCGTGGCTGCAGATTCGGAGTTGTTAGCAGTTTGTTAAGAAAATGAAACAGGCTTGTAAAAACCTGTGTTTGTTTGTAGAAAAAACTTCTTGTGAAAAAATCTGTGGTAACTAGTTTCGGCGTAGAAGCCTTCGTCAGACCACAAGAAAGCAAATGAGACATCGAGGCTTATATAATGCCCTCGAGAGGATCCCGCTCGCTATTGAGCTCGCAGGGAAACCCAAGTCTCAGCAAAAAAATCTACAGTAACAGAATTACACTACGCTAGCACTTACGAGCAGAAACTAAACAGCTTCCAACCCTTTTTGGCAATTTCCATGCCAGAATAGCTCGCCTCCTTGTAAACACATCGCGTGACATTGTATCCAGGTGTGTTTTGAGTCGACTCAAAAAGGACCCCAGGCGCGAACGATCAACCAACGGGTTGAGCAGACATTTGATCACCAGGGGGCCGCGACTTGAGGAGTTGCGAAGAGAATCGGCGCGTAGTAGAAGTTCAGAGCGTTCAGAGAAACTGACACTCTTGAAAATGGGGAGAAGAAAACCGTTCAAGGGTAACCGCGAACACGAAGTCTTGCGAAAAATAAGGCGCGGGAGTTGAAAAAATCTTCGCGCGAGGAGGATCGCAGAAGGAATCTTCTCAGTTCGCTACGAATGAAGCTCACTTTAGTGCTCCTGGTATGGTAGGAGTTGAACGGTAAATAGAGATACCGGTTCATCGGCTTCTGGAAGAGCTTGCAATCCAGGATACCTTTTCTTGAAAACGTTTACCCGTAAAGAAAGTAACGTCCAGAAAGTCCATGGAATGAACTGAAATGTTCCAGGTCAGTTTAATGGATGGATGGAGATGGTCAAACTTGGACTTAAAGCTGTCAAAGCTGTCTCTCGATCCTTCCCACAGTAAGAGTCCGTCGTCAATGAAACGGAGATGAAGAGAGGGTGGTTTTGGAATGGAAGCATGGAGTTTCTTGTCCAGGTAACTCATGAAAAGCACCGCGAATCAAACTGCGACTGAAGTGCCCATAGCAGTACCGTGGATCTGAAGGAAGAAACGGTTATCAAAAGTGACGAAACCATTAAACATCACCCACTTCAGCAGGCGAACGATCAGTGGAGCCAGAGGATGTTTAGCCTTTTGGAGGAAATAATCCACAGCATCGATCCCATCCAGTAGGGGAATAGACGGGTAAAGTGACTCCACGTCGTAAGAGGCCAGTAAAAGATTGGGCTGGAACCTCCTCCCCTCCAGGTGCTTAATAAAACTCTGAGAGTCTTTGATGTAGGTTGGTTGTGCAAGCACAAGCGATCGTAAAACAGCATCCAACCAGCGGGAGACGTTTGAAGTCACCCAAGAGTGAGACCCCGCAATGGGTCGTCCAGCAGGAACCTTCTTGTGCACTTTCAGGATGATGTGAAACGCTGGGACTTTCCAGCCTCCTTTAGGCGCATTGAAAAAAGAGTTCCAGATACGGGAGCTGAGCAGAGGTTTATAATCTGCACGAATCTGCTCCAGTTCATCGACGATGCGAGAAACTGGGACAGATGAGTACTCCCGATAAACAGATAGATTAAGTAGATGCTTGAAGCAGTGTTCTTTATAGAAGTCCCTGTCCATCACAAGTTAGTCCGAGGTTTTTATCAGCTGGCTTAAAGATGAGATTAGGATTTCGTCCAAGTACATTTCAGGATCTGTGTGTAGTTCTTCTTTTTTCGGTGAAGAGTAGTAAAGGGTTGATTGCCGATGCTTTCCTAGAGCCGGATTGTTTAAAGACAGCAAGTGCCGTTTCGACTTCAGGAGAAGCTTCTGGCGGATTCTAGTTATCTCGTTTAGGAAGCTTGTACCCAGGATACTCTGTCTGAAAATTCAGCACCGTCAAAGAGATACATTGTCCTGATGCTACGAATGAACTCATCAACCTCCACCTCTATGCTAGAACGACTTCTGAGACACGGGACTGGAATGTATGTGAGACCTAGACCGAGTAGACTTAGCTCTTTAGGATTGAAGACATGACTGTTGTAGTTATGGATCCCTTTGTTGCTGACACGGTTACGCAGCTGAAACTCCGTTCGCCGACCAAAAAGAATCAACGCGTATTGATGAATGTCAGCAGCTAGCGCAGGCTTAGTTTTTCCGTGGCCGGATTCCTCCGATTTTTGGAGTGTTCAGGTTTCTACTTCTTGCTATTAGGATGGCGTCCAGGATTACGGCTCGCGGTCTTAGTGAAAAATCGTCCCATGGTCTTAGCTGCGTCAGAAGATCCGTCAGAAAACTTCTTCTTCTTGTTGGTCTTAGAAGGAGAGACATTCTTAGAGTTGTTCCTGAGCACCAGAACCGATTTGTTAGTTTTAATCGGGAGAGAACACTTAACCGAGGTACCCTTATCCTGTCGAGCAGTCGTAGCAGAGTTGTTGTTCGATCGCTAAGGATGAGTACGGTTGTTCGGACGAGCAGCAGGACGATGCTGATTGAACCGCTTCACAGCCTTCTCAGCTTCCTGCTTCGCGATCTCACGAATAGCCGGTTCAACAGGTAAGTTCTCCGCTTCTGTTATAGCAGCAGCCTTCCTGTCATCCTCCTCCTTTTTCTCCTTCAGGTGAGTCTCAGCGACAGCAGCTTCAAGGTAAAACTGCTGACATCGTCTCCGTGAACTCTTTCAGGATCCGGTTCTTGAAGAAATTCAGCTTGTCGACGAGTTTGGTATTCTTGGAACCGAGATCAGAGTTCTTCGTCAGATTGATGAAATTAGTCAGGTTGTTCTGGAGCTTCGGAAAGACAGCGTGAGCAGTCATTAAGAGCAAGGTCAGCTGACTTCTTCATATTGATCATAACATCCTTGAGCTTGATGACAGTATGCTTCGCAGGCATCAAAAAGGCCCTTATCGGCTTCTTGCTTGATCTCTTCGTTGTTGCAGACAAAAGAGAAAGGCTTGATACGAATACTATGCGGAATGATTCCGTTCTTCTTCTGCTCAGCCATTAAATGATATTGCTGCATCTGGGTCCGGTATTTCAGAAAATGCTTCTTAAAATCCGCAGCAGCTTGAAATTTAAAAACGTTGAGGCAAGAAGGTGTAGCCTGCTTTTCTAGAAAAGCGTCAGATACGTCTCCAAGGAAATCAAATGAATCAGTCATGGCGACATCGTTAATGTTGTCGTTGTCCAGGGTCACAGTGACGTTGGCTTCGTGAACCAAAGTTCGCAGCTTCAGCCGGGTTCGGAGCATCAACACGCTTCGTCATCGGTTGAGGAGCCATAGTGTGTACTTGGACAGTCACAGCAGGAAGTTCTGCAGACTCGCAGATACGTTTCTTGCTAGGATGAACTGGAGTCGAAAGGATTGGGTCCTCTCGGTCAGTAATGACAACTTGATGTCCCCCTCTGGCGAAAGACTGCCTTTTTGTAGGTTGTCGAGTCGCCTCGGGAATTGATTCCTTGGAGGAATTTTGAAATTTAGGAGTAGACCAGGTCGTAGCCCGGGTTGCTTGAAACTCGAAAATGGCCTTCGCAGTGTTTTGTGTCGTCAGACCCAAGGAACACCACTTATTGGTGGTGGTAGACATTGCGTGGCTGCAGATTCGGAGTTGTTAGCAGTTTGTTAAGAAAATGAAACAGGCTTGTAAAAACCTGTGTTTGTTTGTAGAAAAAACTTGTGAAAAAATCCGTGGTAACTAGTTTCGGCGTAGAAGCCTTCGTCAGACCACAAGAAAGCAAATGAGACCTCGAGGCTTATATAATGCCCTCGAGAGGATCCCGCTCGCTATTGAGCTCGCAGGGAAACCCAAGTCTCAGCAAAAAATTCTACAGTAACAGAATTACACTACGCTAGCACTTACGAGCAGAAACTAAAAAGCTTCCAACCCTTATTGGCAATTTCCATGCCAGAATAGCTCGCCTCCCTGTAAACACATCGCGTGACATTGTATCCAGGTGTGTTTTGAGTCGACTCAAAACACACCGGGATTGATGGGTCTGGTGAGTGGTGGAGAGGAGGGGATTGATGGGTTTGAGCAGGGCTGCTACAGCCAGGGCATCTGATCTGATCATCTACTTCCCTTACACTCACCTTCTTCCCCGCCCCTCATCTCCCTCCTCTCCGCCCCCTGCCCGTGCCAGTGCTGTTCCGCAAGAGGGAGCGGCTGCCGCTTGACTACCTGGTGTCGCTCAAGGGCAGTGGGGAGAGAGAGCTAGAGTGAGTGAGTTATCTATCAGTCGACTCAAGTCACCGTTATTCTAAACCCTCTTCTTTGTGTCCCCCTGCCCATACCAGTGTTGTTCCGCAAGAGGGAGCGACTGCCGTTTGACTACCTGGTGTCGCTCAAGGGCAGTGGGGAGAGGGCCATGGTGTCAGTGTACCGAGGAGGGCAGCTCATGCACTTCGACATGACCGTCAACCCGGTATGCGCTGGGTTAGCATGCAACGGTTTCTGGCATGACGTGTGATATGCATGCGTTACATCTGACACGGCCTCCAGCCACTAAACTACCACATGCTTTCTCCGCCTCTTTCGTCCCATTCTCTCCTCCCCTCCTCTTTCCCTCCCACCCACCTCCAACCTCTCTCCCCCCTCGCCCCTCCTCTCCCCACAGCTCCCCCCGTTGGTGCCAGCGCAGCAGTTTGACAGTGCCCCAAGCTACTTCATATTCGCAGGGCTCGTCTTCATGCCGCTCTCCCAGCCCTACCTGCATGAATACGGCCCCGACTGGCTCCACTCCTCCCCCCGCCGCCTCTGCGACCTCGCCCTCCGCAACCTGCCCGAGAAACCCGGGCAGCAAATCATCATCCTCTCGCGGGTGAGTTTTCGGAGGTTCCAAAATCCATGCTACCACAGCAGGCTCATCACACCTAGAACCTCAGCCTTCCATTTGATCCTTCCATGATCAGATACATCCATGTCTGTATAGGCCGCCTTTCATGTCTGTATCTGATCATGGCCGACTGGTGTGGCTTGTTGACACATCTCCTCTTCTCCTCACCTACCTCCACGTCTGCCCCTCCCCACCCCGCCACGGACATGTGTGCCACCAGGTGCTCCCTGACGAGGTCAACGGTGGTTATGAGCGGCTGGCAGACCTGCAGGTGAGGGTTTTTTAGACGTCCCAAAATGAGCATGTGTGGCTATGTGTGCCACCAGGTGCTCCCTGACGAGGTCATCGGTGGCTACGAGCGACTAGCAGACCTGCAGGTGAGATTTTTTTAAGACGTCCCGAAATTGGTCTTAGAGGCTAGCACACATGTGTGGCACCAGGTGCTCCCTGACGAGGTCAACGGTGGTTATGAGCGGCTGGCAGACCCGCAGGTGAGGGTTTTTTAGACGTCCCAAAATGAGCATGTGTGGCTATGTGTGCCACCAGGTGCTCCCTGACGAGGTCATCGGTGGCTACGAGCGACTAGCAGACCTGCAGGTGAGGGTTTTTTAGACGTCCCAAAATTGGTCTTAGAGGCTAGCACACATGTGTGGCACCAGGTGCTCCCTGACGAGGTCAACGGTGGCTATGAGCGGCTGGCAGACCTGCAGGTGAGGGTTTTTTTGACGTCCCAAAATGAGCATGTGTGGCTATGTGTGCCACCAGGTGCTCCCTGACGAGGTCATCGGTGGCTACGAGCGACTAGCAGACCTGCAGGTGAGGGTTTTTTAGACTGTCTCAAAACTTGTCTTTTTCCACACGTGTGGCACGAGGTGCTACCTTCCCCGGGTAGCAGGCCTGCAGGTGAGGTGAAGCCCGTCTACTCTCAGGTGCCCATCCCCTTCTCATCCTCTCTTCTCTGAATCCCTTCTCCCCTCCTCTCATTCTCCCCTCCTCTCATTCTCCCCTCCTCTCATTCTCCCCTCCTCTCATTCTCCCCTTCTCTCTTCTCATGCACTCCCTCCCTCTCCGCCCCTGTACCCTCTCCCTCGCCTAAAACCCCACCTCTCGAGCACCCACCAGGTGCTCAAGGTGAATGGGATGGAGGTGGAAAATTTCCGGGTGTGTTTTGAGTCGATTTAAAACCCCACCCTCCCTCTCCTCTCCTGCACCCCCCCTCCTCTCTCCTCGCCCGCACCCATCAGGTGCTCAAGGTGAATGGGATGGAGGTGGACAATATTCGCCAACTCAAAGACGCCGTGTTTGAGACATCTGGGCCGTTCGTTCGGTTCGATCTGGAGGACGGGCGGATCATAGCCATTGACATGGCAGCTGCCAGGAAGGTGAGCGGTTTGGGTCGGATTGCACTGGGTTTAAGAGATGTGAGTCTCAGGCTTTTCAGCCCAGCGAGGTGACTTTGAGTCGACTCAAAAGGAAGGCAAGTGGTTTGATTTGGATCGCACTGGGTTGAAGAGATGCGAGCCTCAGGCTTGTCAGCCCAGCATTCTCCGAGTCTGCCTGATGATTCCTCTGCAGCTAAACATTAATTTCCTTTTCATTACCCAACCAACATTAATGCTCGCATCTGCACCCGAACACACATACACACGCACATGCGACACGCCTCCAGTCGAATGCGCAGATTCTGCGGCGCTACCGCGTGCCGAGTGCATCCTCTTGGGACCTCCGCCAAATGGCCGACAGCAACTCCCACGACAGCCACAGCCGCTTCTGATTACCTCTTGGTGTGACACTTAAGGCGCCTCAAAAGGTTTGCCTCGCTACCGTGCATGTGCCAAGTGCATCCTCTTGAGACCTTCGCCAAATGGCTGACAGCAACTCTCACGACAGCCAGCAGCCGCTTCTGATAGACACTTTTGATACACTTATGTTAGCCACTTCTGAGGTAGCCTGTTTTAGTAGCCATATGTAATACAGTACAGGGCTCATATGACTGAGTACTGAATTACTGAATGCCGATACAATGGAAGTGACGAGGCCTAAATAGGGGAAGTCCTAGCAAGGACGGAGAGGTTGGGCGAGGAAGGCTCGGTGATGGTTGCGATTAAAGCGGAGGCGACTCGGGGGATCAGTCTAGCACCTGTTCAAAACCTGATTTTCAAGGTTACCCGTTGTGGAAAACCTGATGCGTCAGGGTTTTTGCATGTATTAAAACGACTACCCTGAGGCATCAAGTGTACCAATTCGCAAAACCCTGTTTCAGTTGTCCAGTACACAGCATACAATAACAGGCTTAATCATCACAACAAGGTTGTTGCTCGTGGTCGCTGTCCTCCTCTGGCTCCGGCACTTTCTCCTTGCCTCGAATGAAACTGTATTTCTCGCCAATGGTGGCCCACCTCGTTCCAGCACACGTAAAGTCCTGCCGAAATCTACATTTTCGACAGTTGGCAAAGGGAAAATCCTGGTTCCGGGGTCGGGTGGTTAGGGGACGGAGGGGGGAGGGGGGGGGGGGGGGGGGGGGGGGGGGGGGGGGGGGGTGAGGGGTGGGGGTTCGCTGGTACGCGCTTCAGGGTAAACCTCGATAAGCGGAACGGCAACCCTGAGGCGACAGTATTCCTTACTCTTAAAACCTGGCACATCAGGGTAAATCAAGGTCCCGAAAACATTACCCAACAGCAGGCCTCTGGATAGGATTTGGGGCACTCTTACTCGTAAGACCAGTGAGCTGGAGTTGGTCTTTCAGTAAGGGTGTGTCAACCATGTCAGTCTTTTTTATCAGTGTCAGCTGGAAAGGTACTCTTAGTCTTCAGTGTACACATTGTTTTCACCCTTTCATGTTTAGATTAAAGCGTTACATATAAAAGAAGGCACAAACTAACAGAGCAGCTAGAGCACCAGCGCCTAGTTTTAACAAAATAAGTTGAGCAGTGAGCACACAAGTTAGTACGGTACATGAACTCCTGAGTGGGCCCTTCTTGCTAGCATTGAACATTGCTATGCACGAGCCCCGCGAGTGAAACTCGACTCAGGTTGCCGCCACTTCTTCAGTGCCTAACCGGAAACAGATTTCAGCTTCTTGGCATCAGAGTCGTCAGCAGCAGCAGTATATGTTACATGTGTCGTCGCTTTTCGTGGTGCCAGTTCAGACGTCGTGGTGCAGATTACGCCCCACTTCATCCAGCCCGGTCTCAGCCTCTAGTAGAGGCGACGACGGGCTCTAGTTCAAGCAGCCGCTTAGTAGGCCCTGTTAAAAGTTAAGGCTCGTTTGCGAGGGTAAGTGCTGGACCAGACGACGCCTTGTCGTCATCATCACCGCTGGCGTCAACAGCCATGACGAGGAACTTGGAGGTAGATACTGGAGCTAGGCCTATGATATCAGCAGGAAGGCGTGGTGTGCAAACCCTAGACGAGACCACGAGGAGGAAAACTGGATGAGAGAAATTAACTCACTGGGTTGGGGTGGGGTGAGAGTGGCTCGTCGGTACGTGGGGGTCTGGTGGGGAGGGAGGAAGGGACCAAGCACAATTTTCCTGCACGATACACATCTGTGTGGCGCTGCGCGTCACCGCCAGGCAGGCAAACTGCAGGTGATATGGGTACAGTTGGCGGGACTGTGGCTATGACGACGCGAGCGGTCTTGGCGACGCGCAACTCTTGTGACTCGGGCAAATCGCCGCTAATCGCGGCAAAAATCACGTCGGTGAACCCCCCCCCCCCCCCAAAGAAAAATCGCTTCAGTGTTGTACCCAACACTACCTTTAGTCATCAGGGCAAGTACACCAGGTCGGTCTGAAATATCAGTGAGGGCGCCCTAAAATACAACTCTGCAAAATAAGGGTGAACACCTAAACCCACCCTTATAGTAAGGGTTATAAGGGTGATTTACCCTGATATCCAAAGGCCTGCCCAACAGCATCAGTGTTACCGTCATACCCCGGGTAGAAGCGCCCCTGGGGTTGTAATAAAACACTGTTTTTTAGGGGGTGCGCTTATAATTGAGGAAATTTATAAGCGCCGGCGTTTATATAACGGCAAAGTGAAATTAAAGTTTTTTTTTAACACCAAACTGTAGATCTCGTTCTTCCAAGTGTAGTCGAGTCGAAAATATATGGGGTCGCGAATCTGACTCTCGAGCAACTTAGCAGGGATTGATTCCCTGCCAACACATGCTGACTAAGCGACAGCGCGTGCTGACTAGACGCGCAGCAAGTGTGATGTGAGTGGGAAAGTGGAACTGTACTTCGCTTACCTGGTAAGGGGAATTTCGTTTCTGTATTTCGACTGATTTTCATATAATATTCGACATGCGCTTATAATAAATCACAAATTTTTAGGGGGTGCGCTTATTATCGAGGACCGGATATAAGCGCCCTCATCTCTTTATAAGCGCCGGCGCTTATCTGAGGCCTGCGCTTCTATCCGGGGGATTACGGTACTACCAAAAAATCACCCTTCTAATCAGGGCATCAGGGTGATTTACACTGATAACGTGGGCCCTGATACAGTACCATCCCTTGGGTGGGATCTTTAGTGACCACCTTCAGGACAGTTGTTCTGATTCTGAGGCAGTAAGAAGGCAGGGTTCATCATGTTCACCATTCAGTCCAGACTCGTTGGCAATGGACAGTAGCCCTAGTTCTAGAGGGAAGGGGTGGAATTGCAGGGGTGCTGAGGTAGGGAGGATTCATGTTGGCCACATGTTAATTATTTCATCACTTATTGGTGCCATTGCTTACACTACTGTATGTCAGCTCCAAATGGTACGAAAGAACTGTGAGGAAATAGATTTTAAAGGAGTCAATCCGGCTTTGTTCTTAGCTCCAACTTGCCGTTCTGCCCGGCGAACATAACCTGCTGCCTATACCCTCTTCCCACAGTCACCCCCCCTATAGCCACCCCCCTGCCTCGCCCTCTCCCTAGCCCGCTACCATTCCCTACCCCCTGGCCTCTCTCCCTCCCTTTCTCCAACCCATCAACTGCTCCTCCTATCCCCCCCACTGCTCCTCCTATCCCCCCCACTGCAACTCCTCTCCCTACCCCTGCTTCTCCCCCTTTACCATCACCCTCATCACTTACACTGCCCTCACTCTCACTCCCCGATCCATCATCTCCCTCCCCATCACCGCCTCTCTCCCCACTCTCCTGCCCTTCACCCTTCCCAAGCCCTGAAGCATCTTCCACAGGCCGGCCAAGAGCATCATCAGTATAAGCACCATCATTATAAGCACCATCAGTACCTTTCAGCACCCCTCCCCTTCCTCTGCCCCTGCCCCTGCCTCTGCCCCGACCTCTCCCCCTCCCCCGCCCCCTGCCTCTCCCCCTCCCCAACCGGATGGTACTTCTCCCCTCAGGCGAATAGCAGTCCTCTTCCCCCTCTGCTTCTTCCTCCCCAGACTCACTCCCCTCCTCCTCTCCTTCGCCACCGCTTGCTTCATCAATTGAGTCACCATCCACTCCCTCCTGTTCACTCTCTCTTCTCTCCCTTCTCGCGCTTGTCATACCGCTTCCTCTGCCCCTGCCCCTCCCTCTGCCTCGGCCTCTACCTCTGCCCCGGCCCCGGCCCCTCCCCCTACCCCTCCCCCTTCCCCTGCCCCTCCCTCTCCCTCTCCCCCTCCCTGACCCAGCAGCAATTCGATCATCAGGCTCATATACATCCTCCTCTTCTTCCTCCTCCTCCTCCTCCTCCTCCTCCTCCTCCTCCTCCTCCTCCTCCTCCTCCTCCTCCTCCTCCTCCTCCTCCTCCTCCTCCTCCTCCTCCTCCTCCTCCTCCTCCTCTTCCTCCTCTTCCTCCTCTTCCTCCTTTTCCCCTTCTTCGTCCTCCTCTTCCTCCTCTTTCAATCCTCCTCCTGATTCTTTCGCCTCTAATTTCCCCCATTTTGCCTTGTCCCCCACAAACCCACTCTCGTCCCCACCATTCCAGTCCCCGTCGCCACAAACCTCTCTCTCCTTGTGCCGCCCTCTCCCTCTCCTCGCACGACGAGCACCCCCGCCCGCCCGCTCCCCACACCGCACTGCGGCGTTGGTCACCTCCTCTGTGCTTCTCAACCGCACTACACCGTCCATCACCCCTTCCACTGCAATATCCATTATCAAACCTTTCCCACCCTCCTCCACCCCTTTCTCTCCGTCCTTCTCATCCTTCTCACTTGCTCGCCTCATTAGAAGATCCAACCCGGTCTGCTTCCTCTCCCCTCGCCGTCCCTCCCCACACATGCTACTTACTTCCTCCTTCCCACCCCACTCCCCCTCTTCACTCCCCTCCTCTCCACTCCCGTCCTCTCCACTCCCCTCCTCATCACCACTCCCCTCCTCCTCTCCACGCCCCTCCTCCACCTCTTCAGCTTCCATCCTGCTCCTCCCCACACCATCATCGCGCCTGCCACCGTCTCGTCTCGCCCTTGCTGCTCTCTCCCCTCGCCTTCCTCCACCAGACATGCCCCATCCTCTATCCTCCTCCCCAGCAATATCACCAGCTGGTTTTTGAGAATTCTCAAAAGCTTCTCTCTTCCCTCGCCTTCCTCCATCAGCCATGCCCCATCCTCTGTCCTCCCCATCGATCTCAAAAAGCTCCTCAAACTCTTCCTCCACCTCCTCTTCCTCATCCCCATCCCCACCCTCCACCTCCTCTTTCTCATCTGCATCCTCCTCATCTTCCTCAGCCTCCTCTTCATCCTCCACCTTCTCCTCCACCTTCTCCTCCTCCTTCTCATCCTCCTCCTGCTCATCCTCCTCCTTCTCCTCCTCCTCCTCCGCCTCCTCCTTTTCCTCCACTACCCTCCGTCGCCCCCTCCTCCTTGCCCCACTCTCCCTCACCCTCCTTCTCCCCACCCAGCTTTTGCTCTCAATCCGCCTCCTCTTTGCTCTACCCCCCCCAATCTCCTCACTCTCCTCACTCTCCTCCCTGTCCCCCCTATCCTCCCTCTTCTCGCCACCCCCCTCCCGCGTGTTCACCCCATCGTCATCATCTTCCACTGCTCTCAGAATCTCCGCCTCAAAACCGTCCTCCTCTTCACCTTCCAATCCCTCTTCGGTGTGTTTAACAACAAATCGATTTTTAACAACGAATAGTTTCTCACCCCCCAAGTGCTTATCCTCCGGAAAATTACCTTCTAAGCGATTTGCCTTCCTCTCCTCCTCCCGATCCCTCCCGATCCCAAGCACCGCACCCCAGCCCCTTTCTCTTTTATGCCTCCACCCTTCTTGTCTCTTTCGCTTGATAGAAAGCACAAACGGTCCTCCTTTTTTGCCTGCCATCACGGGAATGACCCTGCCATGAACGGGCATTCCCTGTCGCTTGACCAGGTCAACATGCTTCACCTGGGCGCCCTGAAGCTTCCCCCAATCCTCCCCGTATTGCTCCCCCTTCTCCTCCAAATGCTCCCCCAATCCCCTCAATTTCTCATCCTTCTTCTCCGATTGCTCCCCCTTTTTGCCCAATTTCTCCCCCTTTTCCACCAACTGCTCCCCCTTCGTCCCCAACTGCTCTTCGTTCAACCCCAATCTCTCCTCCTTTTCCCCCTTATCCTCCTGCTGCTTCTGCTTCTCCTGGCCCCCCTGCACTCCCTGCTGCTGGCCTCTGGTCTGCTCGTGAGAATTATCGCCCCACCTCGCTCGCTTCGCTTCTCGTTCCTCCCCTGCCTGCTCGTTTGTGGATACCACAGCACCAGCACCAGCAGTAGTAGCAACAACAGCAGCAGCAGTAGCAGCGACAACAGCAGCAGCAACAGAAGCAACTGCAACAGAACCAGCAGTAGCAACAGCAGCCGCACCAGCAGTAGCAGCAGCAGCAGCACTAGTAGCAGCAGCGGCAGCACTAGTAGCAGCAGCAGCAGCACCACCAGAAGCAGCAGTAGCAGTAGCAGCAGCACCACCAGAAGCAGCAGCAGCAGCAGCAGCACTCTCCATTCCCTTGCGCTTCCTCACATACTGAATGCTCACCCTACCATCATCACCAGCAGCACCAGCACCGGCTGCAGCACCAACAACAGCAGCAGCAGTGGCAGCAGCAGCAGCAGCAGCGGCAGCAACACTGGCAGCAGCAGCAGGGAAAGCAGCAGCGGCAGGGGGAGGGGGGAGGGCAGGCAGGGCGAGGCAGATGGGGAGGGTGTGTCGGTCCCAGCCCTGTGAGGCGCGGTAATCGCCATACTCACGGGCCCGTGGTTGCAGCACTTCAATCAGAGGAATGTCACTCACACTGAGAGGCGTTTCAATGGGAGGAGTGCTGGCAGCGACTGCAGGGATTGGGATCCTTGCAGTGCTTGTAGTGAGTGAGGGATGGGTGGTTGAATGGGTATGTTGAGAATGGGGTGGTGAGTGGTGGGAGTGAGTGGGGTCGGGTGTAGGGTGGTGAGGGCGTGTGCGTGCAGCAGAGGTGGAAGGAGAGATGGAAGGATCAAGGGTGACTGCTTCTTTCTTCCCTCCCTTGTCGACACCATCCATGCCAGCACCTCCCGTGTCAGCACCCGCCACGTCAGCACCTGCCATGTCAGCACTGTCCACATCAGCAGCACCCACATCAGCACCACTCGCATCAGGTCCCAGCGAGTCACTTGCAAATGACACGTGTCTCTTCTTTCTCCTCCTCTCTTCCTCTTGCCCTTCCAGGTCACATATCCCCTTCTGCTCCTCCCCATCACTCCCCCTACTTCCCTCCTCACCACTCACCCTCTTTTCCTCCTCCTTATCACTTTCCCTAATTCCCTTCTCATCACTCACCCTCTTTTCCTCCTCCTGATCACTTTCCCTAATTCCCTTCTCATCACTCACCCTCTTTTCCTCCTTGTCACTTTCCCTAATTCCTTTCTCATCACTCACCCTCTTTTCCTCCTCCTCATCACCCACTCTCGTTCCCTTCTCCTCACCACTAACTCTCGGTTCCTTCTCCTCACTCCTTCCCACATCCCACACGGACGGGTCATAGCTCTTCTCTTCAACCGCCACCACAAACAGTGGCGGCACCTGCTGCTTATCCCCCACCATCCCATTCCTCTCCCTCTCCCGCCTCCCAGTCCCATCACCACGCCTTTGCATCTTCCCAATCACCACCTCCTCTTCCTCACCATCCATCTCCTCCTCACCCTCATCTTCATCCTCATCCTCATCTTCATCCTCATCCTCTTCCTCCTCTTCTTCCTCCTCCTCGTCCTCCTCTGCTGCTGTCACTTCCTCCCAGGGCACACAAGCAACACACACCTGCCGCGCCCTCTCCTCATCATCCACAGGCTCGCGCACTCCTTCCGCCTTCTCTATCTCTCCCTCACTCCTCTCTTTTGCCTCCCCTCCCTTCCCCTCCCTCTCCCTCCTCCACCACCTCAACCTCACACTCTTCATCTTCTCTTCCCTCCTCTCCTCTCCTCTCTCCAATCCCCTCAGATTCTCTCCTCCCCTCTCTCCTCTCCTCTCCCATACCCTCATCTCCTCGTGCTGCTCCTTCTCCCTCCCTCTCCCTCCGTCCATCTGCTTCTATCAACACTCCAGCATCCCCTGACCCAGCAGTCACCACCACACCCTTCGCACCGCCCTCTGCTGCCAACCCCTCTGCTTTCCCAGCCCCAGACATCACCACCACACCGGCTGTAGCAGGCCCCACTTGCCCTGCAGGAGTAGCCGCTACAGCTGCCACTACAGCAGGCCGAGCGGTATCAGCAGCAGCAAGATCATCCGTGGCACCAGCAGCAGCAGAAGAAGCAAGAGCAGGAGCACAGAGAGCAGCAATGGAAGCACCAGTACCACCAGCGGTAGCTTCACCGCCTTGTGCCGAAACTGCTGCATCAACCTCACTCCTTTCCTGCCCTCGAGTAACCCCTGCTGCCTCCTCTCCTTTCCCTCTCTGCAATGACTCTTGTACTGCGTCGCGCGACTTGTCTTGTACCGAGGGTGACAATAACAGGGGAAAGGATTCCTGTGGTGGCAGCGGTGCCATCCCAACCGCACCAAACACCTGAAGCTCGGCAGCCTTGCGGTAGGCCCAGGGCAGGCTCGGGACGCGCCGGACCACGCTGACAGACCCGGGGAAGACGAGGAGCGGAAAGTCCCGATGCACCTGTGTGACCTCTTCTTCAGTCATGACTGAGAATCCGAATCCCTTGATCCACGTGCCCTCTGCTCCTGGTGCTGCTGGCAGGCAGAACTTGCTCACTCCGAGGAGAGAGAAGAGCACGTCCAGTGCATTCAGCAGCACCTTGCACAGGCCCTGGTGGGTGGGGAAGGGGACAGGTAGGGTACGGAGGGGGAAGAGGAGAGGGGAGCGGGGTGAGGAAGATGGAGAGAGGATAGAGGGAAGAAGGATCGAGGGAGAGCAAGGAGGGAGGATGTAGGCAATTGGACTTACCCAACGGTGGTGCGAGTATGAGGTGGCAACAAGGGGCAATTTAAGAAAGCACAGGAGCTCACAGTACCATTTTCTTAGGAAGGCTCCTCGGACTTACCCGAAGGTGACAAGAGGGGGGGAGGAGAGAAAGAGGGCTTACCCAGCGGCGGTATGAGTATGCGGTGGCAACGAGGGCATTTCAACAAAGCACAGGAGCTCACGGCCTTACCCGGAAGTTTGATTGGGCGGTGTTTACTCGGACTTAAGCGGCGGCGGTGGGAGTATGCGGTGGCGACGAAGGGCATTTCAGCGAAGCACAGGAGCTCACGGCCTTACCCAGTGGTGCGATCGGGGGGCCTTTAGTTGGACTTACCCGGCGGCGGTGCGAGTAGGCAGTGGCAACGAGGGGCATCTCAGCGAGCTGGCGGCCGAAGATGCGAATGCAGGCTGCACACACCACACGGTCGCGCTGCTTCAACACACAGCACAGCATGCCCTGAAACTCGTGCTCCCTGCTGCTGCGACTGGTGGGTGGGAGAGGGGGGAGAGAGGCGTGGGGGGAGAAACAGGTGAGAGAGGGGTGAGAGAGGCAAGGGATGCAGGCTGCACACACCACGCGGTCTTGCTGCTTCAACACACAGCACAGCATGCCCTGAAACTCGTGCTCCCTGCTGCTGCGACTGGTGGGTGGGAGAGGGGGGAGAGAGGCGTGGGGGGAGAAACAGGTGAGAGAGGGGTGAGAGAGGCAAGGGATGCAGGCTGCACACACCACGCGGTCTTGCTGCTTCAACACACAGCACAGCATGCCCTGAAACTCGTGCTCCCTGCTGCTGCGACTGGTGGGTGGGAGAGGGGGGAGAGAGGCGTGGGGGGAGAAACAGGTGAGAGAGGGGTGAGAGAGGCAAGGGATGCAGGCTGCACACACCACGCTGGTCTCACTGCTTCAACACACAGCACAGCATGCCCTGAAACTCGTGCTCCCTGCTGCTGCGACTGGTGGGGTGAGAGCGGGGTAGGGGAGGGTTGACTGAGCGGAGAGAGAGGTGTGAGCGGGGGGTGAGAGCGCAATGAGAGAGGGAAACAGACAGCTTGAGCGGCACGGGAGGGGATGGGGCCTTACCTGCGAACCATGAGGGGAATGAGATCTTTCCCCGTGAATGCATCCTTGATCGGATCGAACGACTCTGCAAACAGCTGACACACGCCGCCCAGCGTCAGCCCGTTCGCCTCCAACCCCCGCCGCCCCTTCAGCACCTGCCACGACAGCTCGCCGCCCCGCGCCCTGCTCTGCGCCGCCCGGCCCTGGGACGCGTTCGGCGTCAGGTCAAAGGTTGCCGCCCGAAGCTGGGAGGAGGTGCTATGCTGCTGAGGCGTGTTGAGAAGCGTGGCAGGAGGCAGAGGCGGAGGCAGCGGGGGAGTTGAGCAGTGGGGAGCTGGGCTGGTGCAGACACCAGTACTGGCGCTCGTATTCTTCTGTCCTGATGCTGCTGCTGCTGCTGCTGGCAAAGCAGCATCATCATCAGCAGCCGCACCACCAACAGAAGGAGAAGCAGCAGCACCAACAACAACACCAGCAGCACCAGCAGCACGCGGCATTGGCTGTGGCTCCAGCAGGTGAGCCTCCTCCATCTCCTCCCAGTCCGGCAGATCCGGCAAATGCATGCTTCCCCGCTCCAGAACCATCTGCACCGCATTGAACACCTCTTCACACGCTGCACAGCAGAACCAGTTCCCCTCAGGCAGCCTCTCTAACACCTGCACCCCATGCTCCTTCAAACACCCCACGTGATACTCCTTCTCGCACTGATCACAGAATATGATCGTCCGCGGGCCAAAACCTGATGGGACAAAGTCGTGCGACCCGGAATGGCACAGCACGCAGCCTCCCCCTGCGCTCTCCAGCTCCTTCACCAACCGTCTGCACCGCTCTACATCTACGTCCACCTCCCCCAACCCCTCCGCACCCTTCCCCGCCCCTTCCTCCTCCACCACCTCCCCCACCGCCGCTTCCCCCCCAGCCGCCTCCCCCTTCCGCTTCCCCTTCCCCCAGGCGCCCCGGCCCCGCCCCTTCCCCCGCGCGCCCTCCCCCTTCCCCACGCTCGGGGGGAGCGGAGCCAAATGCCTTGAAAAGGCCGTAGACGGCTTGCAAGTCGGGCAGAACCAGTCGGAATCGGGAATGGAGGGTAGGCCCACGCAGCCGGGGTGGTAGGCTCCTGGGCACGTCTCACAGAGCAGCAACGTGCCGCCCTCGCCACAGTTGGTGCACTCGTCCGCATGCCCGTCCGCATGCCCGTCCGCGTTCCCGTCTGTGCTGAGATGTACTCGCGGGCTCGACTCACACGAGTCGCGGGCGTCTCGGGATTCTCCTCCGCGCTTGAGGCTGCCCTTCCTCGCAGTGCCGTGTCCAGCAGATGCAGCAGAAGAAGTACCGGTAGCACCAGTACCAGGAGCAGCAAACGAGGCAGGGGTGCAGGGGGGCCGGGAGGCTGCGAGCCTGATGGCGAGTTCGTGTAGGCTGTGGCCGTCGTCGGTGAAAATGCGATTGTAGCTGTGGGTGGGTGCGGAGAGGCACGGGAGGGAGCAGGGTGAAGGGAGAGTGAAGGGAGAGTGAAGGGAGAGTGAAGGGAGAGTGAAGGGAGAGTGAAGGGAGAGTGAAGGGAGAGTGAAGGGAGAGTGAAGGGAGAGTGAAGGGAGAGTGAAGGGAGAGTGAAGGGAGAGTGAAGGGAGAGTGAAGGGAGAGTGAAGGGACAGTGAAGGGACAGTGAAGGGAGAGTGAGGGAGTCTGTGATTGTAGCTGGTGTCATTGAAGGGCCTGATTGCGAGTTCGTGCAAGCTGTAGCCGTTGTCGGTGAATATGCGGTTGTAGCTGGTGGGTGGGTGAGCAGAGGAGAGGTGGAGGATGGGTGAAGGGAGTGGGTGAAGGGAGTGGGTGAAGGGAGTGGGTGAAGGGAGTGGGTGAAGGGAGTGGGTGAAGGGAGTGGGTGAAGGGAAGGTGGAGGGAGTTTGAAGGAAGAAGAGCCTTTGAAATTGGTAAAAAAAAACAGAAAGAACCACAAAAGGAGCACATATGTCTGGTTGGTATCATTTTTGAGAATCAAACAAAAAACAGAAACATGAAAATGTATGTGTGGAGAGGAGAGGACTTACGGGTTGCGGTGGCCGCCCTTCCCTGCATGTGCCTCGAACTGAGAGCTGCTGATCTGTGCCCCTCACACCAACAGGGGGATGGGGCACAGGAGGAAAACGGGATGGGGCACCAGAGAGGAACAGCGCAATGAGGGGGAGAGGATTTTTGAGACGCCTCAGAACGCGCCCTTCCCTGCATGTGCCTCGAAGTGAGAGCTGCTGATCTGAGCTGCTGATCTGCGCCCCTCACATAAGGAGGGGAACGGACGATCAAGGGACGGACAAGGGGAGAAACCCCCTTGACGCTTGCAATCACATTCACGGGACAAACACAAGAGAGAAGGATGAGAAGAGATGGAGAGAGGAGCGTTGCGGAGAGAGGGGGTTGGATGTGAAAGGAAGAGTGCTCACCACTTGGTTGCAGCAGCTGCAGAGAATGCCGCTGCCCTGCTTCACACCGTGCAGCAGACACTGGCACACGGGGAGAGGAAAGGAAATGGAGAGGCGCAAAACTTTGTAGTCGACTCAAAATGCCACTGCACTGCACGACTCCGTGCAGCAGACACTGGCACACGAGGAGAGGAAAGGACATGGAGAGGCGCAAAACTATGTAGTCAACTCAAAATGCCACTGCACTGCATGACTCCGTGCAGCAGACACTGGCACACGGGGAGAGGAGAGATGGGAAGGCGCAACAGCATTGAGTCACGGCAAATAACCGCTGCTTTTGAGGCGCCAAAAGAAAGGGAGACGGGGAGAGGAGAGGTGGGAGAAGCTCACCTGACCCTTCATGTAATAGCCAAGGCTGGTTCCGTCCTCTATGCCTCCCGGTCGGAACAATGCCTTGTGTGTTGACCCCGACTCCCTGACGAACACACACGTACACACATGCACACGTCCACAAGCGTTAAAGCACACACGAACACACACACATCCATGCATCAAGGCAAGGACTGGTCAGAAACAAGACAAGAGCAACGCCAGGATGAGAAGCAGAAGCAGCAGCAGCAGCTACACCAAACTCACCTCTTCCTGACCGGCATGCCCTGCTGCTTGCGCACCTGACCCTCTCCCATACCACCGCCCCCAGCTGCACCTCCCCCAGCCACCCCTGCCCCGCCAGATACCCCTCCCCCAGTTGCCGCCTTGCTGCCACTGCCAGGGGACCACACAGCCGGCCCAGGCAGCTTGGGAAGCACCCCTCCAGCAGGTGATTTTGAGATTACTCCTCCCGGTGACCTTTGGATTACCGCAGGTGACCATGCAGCAGCAGCAGGGGAGCCCCTTCCAACCGCCTCTACCCGAACCATCCTCCCGGATTCCGCTCCTCCTCTCCACTCCCCCTCCGTCCCTCCTCCCCACACCTCCTCCCCTCCTTTGCCCCACACCCCTTCCCCGAACGCCCGCCGCATCTCCCGCTCCACATCCGCCGACGCAGCAGCAGGATCAGCCGCGTACCCCGCAATCAGAATAATATCCTTCAGGCAGGGGCCTCTCAGCCTAGCCGCCTCCGCAGCCGACATGCACTCGCCCTCCCTCGCATTCGCAGCGCACGGCACATCCAGGAACGTGTAATTCACCGCCTTCTTAGCCGCGCTCCCCGCATGCACCTCGAAGACCGCGCACGCGACTACCTGCCGGCCTCTGCAGGAGCGGCACCCGCAGGCGACCCCTCCGCTGGTTACCACGCCGCGCAGGCGGTTACGGCCGTCGTCGTAGACCAATGGGATGCCGTCCAGCAGGCCGGATTCGAGGAGGGCTTTTACGTTCTTCGGGACAGCTGTCAGCTCGACATTGGTCGGGCCGGGGTAGGGGCGAGAGGGGAGCGTGGTGGTGGTGGTGGGGGCACCTGAGGCACCTGAAGGTTGGGCTGCTGCTGGTGTGGGATGGGGTGCATCTGGGGCAACAGAGGGCGCCTCTGCCATTTCACCTGGTGCAGGAGGTCTGGGTGCTGAAGCACCCGAGGGTTCACCTGAGGGTTCAGATGTGGGAGGCGCAGCAGTAGGTACCGCGCGGTGCTGCTCGGTTGAGTGAGGCTGCTCAGGTGGTCCGTGAGCAACAGGTGCCCTCGAAGCAGCGAGAGCCTGGGGTGGGGCGAGCGAGGAGGAGGCTTTGACAGGGCGGCTTCCCTTGTTGAACCCGTTTTCACATGAATCAGCAGCTGCAGCACCAGGAGCAGCGGGAGAAGCAGTGGTATTAGCAGCAGCAGCAGCAGCAGCAGCGGGAGAAGCAGTGGTAGTAGCAGCAGCACCAGCAGCAGCGCAAGCAGCACTAGTAGCAGCGGTAGGAGCAGCGGCAGCAGCAATGGCTATATCCGTGGGGACAGGCCCTGCAGTGTGCCGCGTGGCATCAACCATCACCTCCACCTCCACGTACCGCTCTGCATCACCTTGCACCTCCACACACCCCTCTGCCTCCTCCTCCACCTCTACACACCCCTCTGAATCCTTCTCCTCGCCCTCCACACACACCTTCACCTCATCCTCTTCCTCCTCTCCACACACCCTCACCTCATCCTCCTCCCCTTCCACACACATCCTCACCTCATCCTCCTCCCCTTCCCCTACTACCCATTCTACCCCATCCTCCTCTGTCGTTTCCTCTGTCGATTCAACTGTCCCTTCCTCCACCTTTTCCCCCTCCACCTTCCCTTCCTCTTCCTCCCCTTCCTCAACCTTTTCCTCCTCCACTTTCCCTTCCTCCAACTTCCTTTCATCCAACTTCCCTTCCTCCATCTTCCCTTCCTCCACTTTCCCTTCCTCCATCTTTCCTTCCTCCATTTTCCGTTCCTCCATCTCTGTTTCCTCCAACTTCCCTTCCTCTTCCCTCCCTTCTTCAACCTTTTCCCCTTCCAATTTCCCTTCCTCCAATTTCCCTTCCTCCACTTTCCCTTCCTCCACTTTCCTTCCATCCAATTTCCCTTCCTCCACCTTTTCCCCCTCCCTCTTCCCTTCCTCTATTTTCCCTTCCTCCCCACTCCTTTTTCCCACAATTACCTTTGCACTACCCCTTTTTCCTCTATCCTTGTTCTTATTCTCTGAACTCTCTGTCAACCCCTTCGTTTCTCCATCAATCCCTTTCTCCCCAGTCGTTTTCCCCTCTTCCTTCTCTTCTTGCCACTTCCAATAAACCTTCTTCCCCTCGATTCCCTTTTCCTCATCCCCTATATCAGCATGACCTCCCCCTTTCCCCTTCCCCTCATTCCCCTTCCCATCGCTCCCCTTCCCCTCGCTCCCCTTCCCCTCGCTCCCCTTCCCCTCGCTCCCCTTCCCCTCATTCCCCTTCCCCTCATTCCCCTTCCCCTCATTCTCCTTTATCCAGATCTCCTTCCCCTCGCATAATCCCCCCCCCATCTCGTTCCCCATATCCCCTTTTCCCTCGTGCCCTCCCCCCTCATCCCCTTTCACCTCACTCCCACTCCCCTTATTTTCCCTCCCCTCATTCCCTGTCCCCTCATCTGCTTTCCCCACAAGCCCTTTTGCCTCAAGCGCTTTAAGCTCATCTCTTTTCTCCTCATTCTCCTTCCCCTCATTCCCCTTCTCTTCATTCCCACTCCTCTTAATCTCCTCTTCCTCACAACCCTTCCGCTCAATTTCTTTCCCTTCAGTCCCTTTCCCTTCAATCCCTTTCCCGTCATCCGCTTTTGCTTCATGCCCTTTCCCCTCATGCCCTTTCCCCTCATCTCCTTTCCCCTCGTCTCCCTTCCCCTCATTCCCTGTCCCCTCCCTTTTCCTCTCGTTCTCCCTCCCGTTTCTGCCCTGCTCAGCACGCTCCCTCTCCTCACTTCCCTCCCTCTTCTCCCCACTCTTTCCCCCACTCTCCCCACTGCCCCCCTCGCTCTCCCCACTTCCTCCTCCCTCACCCTCCCTTACAACTGCACCTTTTAAATCCACACTACCCTGGCAACGTCTCCCTTGATGTGCCTCTACTTTCATCCCCCTCCCTCCGCCCTCCTCCACCCCCACAGGTCCCGCACATGCATCCACAGAGGTCGCAACTGCCCTGCTGCATCCCCGCTTCTCTCTCCCCTGCTGTTCTGATACTTTCATCTCTCTCCCCTGCTGTTCTGATACTTTCATCTCTCTCCCCTGCTGTTCTGATACTTTCATCTCTCTCCCCTGCTGTTCTGATACTTTCATCTCTCTCCCCTGCTGTTCTGATACTTTCATCTCTCTCCCCTGCTGTTCTGATACTTTCATCTCTCTCCCCTGCTGTTCTGATACTTTCATCTCTCTCCCCTGCTGTTCTGATACTTTCATCTCTCTCCCCTGCTGTTCTGATACTTTCATCTCTCTCCCCTGCTGTTCTGGTACTTTCATCTCCATCCCTCCGCCCTCATCCCTCCCCATGGCTCCAGAATCTGCTGCCGCGCGGCTCGCTGCTGCCCTGCTGCAACCCTGCCCTGAATCGAGAATCTTCCCTGACTCTTTTTCTACTTCCATTTCCCTCGCTCCCTCCACTTCAGCTCCCGCTTTCCTTCCTGTTTCATCCTCATCCTCCCCTTCATCCTCTCCTTCCTCCTTCCCTCTTTCCTCCTCTTTTCCACTTTCCTCCTCCTTCCCTTCCTCCTTCCTGCCTTCCTCCTTCCCTTCCTCCTTCCCTACTTCCTCCTTTCCTTCCGCCTCTCCTTCCCCCTTCCCTTCCTCCTCCTCTTCCTCCTTCCCTCCAGCCTCTATACCTCCTTCAACTTTCCCTACCTCTTTTCCTTCCTGCCCCCCTCTATCCTCCACTTTCCCCTCCTCCTGTCCATTACCTTTCTCCGCCCCGCCCTTCTCCCCCCCTTCAACATCATCATCCTCATCTCCTTGCTCCCCACCTCTTTCCTCCGCATCCTCTTCCCCTTCGCCTTCCCTCCCTTCCCCTTCTCCTCCGTTCTCCTCATCATCTCTCCTCCCATTGCTTCCCTTATCATCTCTCCCATTGTTGCCACCGCCGTCATTCCCCCCATTGCCCCCTCCCCCCCCCCATTACCCCCACCATCGCTCCCCCCACCGTCGTTGCCCCCACCACTGTTGCCCCCACCATCATTTCCCCCACCACCGTTTCCCCCACCTTCATTCCCCCCTCCACCGTTTCCCCCACCACCGTTTCCCCCACCGCCATTTCCCCCACCACCGTTCCCCCCACCACCGTTCCCCCCACCATCATTCCCCCCATCATCGTCCCCCCCATTCCCTTCACCTCCATTTTCCTCTCCATCACTCTTTTGCCCCTCTGATTCGTCCCCCTCCCTCTCTTCCCCTCCATCCCCTTCCTCCCCATTCCCTTTTGCTCTCTTCTTCCTTCCTCTGCTCCCCCGGCCCTCTCCCCTTCTTCCTCCACTCCTTTCCCCCCTATTCTTCCCTCTTTCCCCCTCCTTCCCCTTCTCCACCTCCTTCCCCCTCTCCACTTCTTTGCCCCTACTTCCACCCATCTCTATCCCAGCTAAAGGCAATATTTTTATTCTCTTCACCCTCTTCCTGCTCCCATCCCTGCGACCATCATCCACACCTGCATTCACATAGCCCCTCCTCTCTGCCTTTGCATTCTCTTCACTCTCCATCTCCTCTGCACCTCTTTCCACTGTACCATTCTCTCTCCTAACCCTCCTCTCTCCGTTCTCCCCCCTCTCCCCCCTCTCACCCCTCTCCCCACGCTCCAATCCAACACCCTCACCTTCCGCCTTCCTCTTGCCTCTCCTCCTTTCCCGTTCTCTACTCTTCCCCACTCCACCCTCACTCCTTCCCTCCCCTGCACCCCCTTCCTCATTCACACACCCGTCACTCCCCTCTCGCCCCCGTCCTCCCGACTCCACCCGGGCAACCACACGGCTTCCAAACCGCACTTTCACAACCCTCTCGCCCTTTTGAACCAGCTCAGAGCCCGTTCCCCTTGCTGCCTCACTCTGTGTCCTCTCCTCCGCTTCTGCCGTCTCTTTCAATTCCCTTTCTAATCTGTCCTTTTCTTCGTCAGCCCTTGCCTTCGTTTCTGCCTCTGTCTTTTCCTTCGCCTCCCTCACTCTGCTAGACCTCCTCTCTGCTTCCACTCTAGCTCTCTCTGCCTTCTCCTTGGCCTCTCTCTCTGCCTTAACCCTCTCCGCATCAGCCTTTTCCTTTGCTGCTCGCTCTGCCTCTGCCTGTTCCTTTGCTTCTCTCTCGGCTGTGGCTTTCCTTTCGGCCTCTCTTCTTCTCTCCTCATCTTCAGCCTTTCTGGCAGCCTCCCTTCTCCTTTCCTCCGCATCACCCTTTCCCTTCGCCTCTGCTTCAGCAGCAGCCTTCGCATTAGCTTCCACCTCAGCACGCCTCCTCATGATAATCGCAGCCTTCGTTTTCCCTTCCCTCTCCGCCCTCCCCACACCTTCCCCCTCCCCTCTCGCCTTCTCTTCCGCCTTTGCCCTTGCGTCAGCCTCTTCTCTCTGCTTTCTCCGCTCAAACTCTTCCCTCTCCCGTCTCACCGCCTCTTCTCTCTCCCGTTTCCGCTCTGCCACTTCTCTCTCTTGCCGTCTCTCTGCCTCGGCTCGTGCAGCCGCCCTCATTTCTCTATCCCTCGCAGCACTCTCCCTCCTCGCCTTCTCCTCTCTCATCATCTGCTCCCTTGCCTCTGCCTCCCGCGCTGCTGCTTCCCTCCTCACCACCTCCCGCGCCTCTGCATCCCTCCTAGCCGCCTCCCTGGCCGCTACTGCTGCTGCCACTGCTGCTGCTGCTGCCTCTCGCGCTGCTGCATCTGCTTTCCCTGCTGATTCCCTCCCCCAACCCTCCCTTGCAGCCTCCTCTGCCCCAACCCGTACTGGGAATGACAACGCCGCACCACCACCAGCGCCAACACCAACACCACCACCACCACCACCACCACCACCTCCACCACCAAAAGCAGCACGAGCAACACCAACAGCGGCAGCAGCAGCAGCAGTCGCATCAGCAGCATCGGCGGCAGCAACAGAAGCAGCGTAGGCAGCAGCGGCAGCAGGGTCAGCAGAGCACACATGGCCCCTCTTGGGAGCACCACACTTGCGACACATGTACTGCTTCTTCTTACCTGACGGCCCATACGCCACTGACATTCCACCTGCTCCTGACGCCCCATACCCTCCTGAACCCCCAAATCCTCCTGCCGCTCCATACCCCCCTGAACCCCCAACCGCTCCCGAACCGCCAACCGCACCTGGTGTTCCGAACGTCCCTGGAAGGCCTGGTGAGGCAGAGCGCACACCCCCCAGATGGTCTAACTGTCTGAGTGCTTCCGGGTGCATGGGCGTGTGTATGGCTGCTGCACCCCCCACCCCCAAGTGAGACTGACCCGCCTGTGCCCCTCCCAAAGCAGCAACCGGAGTGACAGCCAGCCCTGCACCCCCCACTCCGCTTCCGCCCAGGTTCACTCCTTCCCCTCCCACCACCCCAGCACTGTCAGTGGCCCAGGGAACCAATGTCTTAACTGGTGTTGCCTCAGCACCTGGCCCTGCAATTGCTGCTCCCAGAAGATCCGGGTTCAAATCCTGCTGCCGCGCATAATCCCAGCCCAGAACCAGGTGCGGATTGGCCCTGAGAAACCTTTTTTTCCAGAGGTTGGTGGTGCGGCCAGCAGCAGAACCAGGAAAGAGTAGGTTGAACCCTCCAACCCCTCCTGCTTCTCTCATTTGACCCATGAACTGATAGTAATACTCCTCCTCCTGCTCCCTAGATTTGAGTTCGAATCGGAGATCGAATCCCCACACCGTCCATTTCTCAGCTTCATCTGCCTCCTCCTCCCCTTCCTCCTCTGAAGTGTCCCCAATCAGCAAGAGCTCATCACGCTCTCCTGCTCCCAGCTTTGCCCCTCCTCCCTCCTCTGCTGGTTCTACTGCAGGCTCTATTGTACTCGCTATAGCATGCTCCGTTGCACTATCTATAACACGATTTGTTTCATTTACTACAGCCTGCTGTATGACGTCCAACCCCCGGAGTGTCCTCTCCACAGTAACGAGCGCTAGGCAAGCCCCCTCGTTACTGTCACCCCCCCTTGTGGCATCATCTCCTTCTGTCCCCACCATGCTGACCTCGTTCTGCTCGCTTCCCTCCACCCCAGGCACACCCACCACACCCCCTCCCCCGTCACCACCTGTCAAACGGCCCACACATTCTATGTGATTCCCTCCTCCTCCTGCCTCATTACCCCCTTCCACCACTGCCACCACACCTCCACTCCCATCACCACCTGCTATACGCTCCACACCTCCTGTCCCACTCCCCTCTCCTGTCTTACTCCCCCCTCCTGCATCATTACCCCCGTCCCTCACTGCCACATGCATCTCGCCCCCACCTGTTCCCCGCACCTCACCCTCCCCTGCCCCCTCCTGACCTGCTTCCAAGCCTGCCTCGTGCACCCCCACCGTTCCTCCCAGACCCAATACCTCGTCCCCTGACCCCGCGTCTCCGTCCTTTGCCCCTAGCCCCGCCCTTCCCTCTTCCGCCACTGCCACTGCTCCCTCCTCCTCTTCTACCGCTCTTCCCTCCGGAACCGCTGACTTTCTTCCCCCCTCACCCTCAGAAATCTCCCCCATGACTGCCCCCCCTTCCCCACTTGTACCTGTCCCAACTGTAACCGCCACAGTTGTACCTGTCCCAACTGTAACCGCCACAGTTGCACCGACCCCAGCGATACCTCCACCCTCCTCTGCTGCAGCACCAACAGCGCCCAGACCCTCCCTTCCCATACCTCCCAAGTCCCCACTTTCCTCCCCCTGCTCCCCGTCCTCCTCGTGTGCTTCCCCCTCATCTTGGTCAGCCCCCTCCTCTCCTCCCTCCTTTCCTCTCTCCTCCCAGCCCCCCACCTTTTCCTCCTCCTCCTGCTCTTCCACCTCCTCATCCTGCTCTTGCTCCTGTTCTTCACCTGCTTCTTCCCCCTCTTCCTCTGCTTCTTCCCCTCCCTCCTCATCCCACCGCTCCTCTTCTTCCTCCCCGTCTTCTTCCTCTTGCTCTCCGTTATCATCTCCTTCCTCCTCTTCCTCCTCCGCTTCCTCTTCCTCTCCTCCCTCACCCCCCTCCTCCCCTTCCTCTCCTTCTTCCTCCTCCTCCTCACTGTCCCATCCTCTCTTTCTGCTCAGCCTCTTGGATCTCCTCACCCCATCCGCTTCCGCTACCCCTCTCTTCCTTCCCCGCGCCTTCTCCCCCTCACCCACACCTTCCCCCTCAACCTCCGCGCCCTTCCCCCGCGCCTCCGCGCCCTCTGGCTCCGAGACCCCCTCAAACTGCTTCTGCAGACTCATCCGCGCGGCGATCCCGCGGGTGATCCGCCTCTCCGCCACTCCCGCGCTCCCCCCTTCGGCGCGGCCGCCTTCCCCCTTACCAGCCGCGGGGGCGATCGACTTCCGCGGTCGCCCAGGCCTCTTCCTTGTCTGGGGGAGCGAATCAGCGGACGCGGACAGCGGGGGCGCACCAGCGGAGGCGGACGAGGGTAGCGCAAACATGTTGCTTAGCGCGAGGCTCCCCATTCTGCCTACATGTCCCGCGGAACCCGCGAACGCCGGGAGGTTGACAAGGCTTGCGCTTTCCGCGGAAGCTGGGGGCGGGTATGGCGCAGAGAGGGATTCCCAATGAGAGAAACCCGACATATCCACTCCGATCGGCTCTGACATTACCTCCATAACCCCCCCGTGCTGCTCCTCCTGCTGTTCGTGCGGCTGCTTAGGCTGCGCGTGCGGGTGAGACTGGGGGAGCTGCTGCGACTCCACCCGCGGCGATTGCGGAAGCTGCTGCGCAGACGGCGCGGACTGCCCCGCCCCCAGCGTAGGACTGACATCCGCGTCGGGCTGACAAGGGGAACTAGATTGCGGACCAGACGAGTCATCGGAAATCGACCCTACTTCCCGCTCTCCGTTCTCGAGCTCTGTCCGCGATAACACTGCGCAGTCTGCGGCGGGCTGGGCCTCCGCCAGCGGGGAACGCGGGGAGTTAGGTGGCGATGACTGGGGCGCTACGGGCTCCGGAACACGCGCGAGCTGCGCATCCGCGACCTGCGTCTCTATCGCCAACGGGACGCCTTTTTCCGAATGACGACGCTCCGACGCGACAGGCTCTTTGCGTGCGATAGTCTGCTCCCGGTCGCTCGGTACCGTGCGATCGGTACTGTCGCACGCGACCGTCGCAGGCTCGTCGCATGGCCCGTCGCGGCTTTGTGGCGACGCGCATTGTCGCAAGGCCGCTTGAGAGCACGGTTTCGACTTATCGTCCTCCTGCGACTGCTCGTGAACGAACATTACTCGCAGAGCTGAGCGAACTACGAGGACCCTTCGCCCAGTCGCACAGGTCATGCTCGCGAAACTAGGGTTACGACATGACAAGAATTTACCACTTGTGAAAGTGACTTTCTCGTTGGATCGTTCTTAGCGTCCTAAATGAGCCGTTACGCGGAATTAGAAGGGTCGAAGCTAATTTCCGCGTTATGCGGAATAGAGACAAGCTACATTGCTTTTCATAGCGGAGCTTACTTAGAGGCGCGTCTTAGCGTGACAAGAAATGACAGAGTCAAGCTACCAGGTTAAAACTCGAACTTTCTTCCTAAACGCGGCTCGAAATGTCAACAAATTAGAGTCAAGAATTTGAGAGGCCTCCCATGTCGTACGATAAAAATTGCGGCGAGCAGCAAAAGCACCAAGAAACAGGAGATTTTGCGGAGAGACGCCAGCGTTGAGCGGGAAGTTGCGAGTGAGAGCAGAGAGCGCAGCAGACAGTAGTTTGTGGGGTTTGCGTGGGCCAAGTCTCGAGAGGATTTGAAACACCAAAATCGATGTTCAAACGAACCCTAGAGACCTCCAAATATCGTATTGTCGAATGTGATTGTACGAGAATCATGTAGATAAGATGACTACGTTTCTCTTTCGAAGTCTCACAGTAACAAGAAACAATAATCTTCATCGGATATCTTGTAGCGAGAATACCGATTATTGTGATGATGTTCGCGAACTCCATCGATTTCGGTGACCCTCGCCAATGCCCAGGTCCTGACAAATCATTCCCAGGTCGTACCTGCCTTGCCTGACGTCGTGGCTTTTCTTTTAGTTCGGAGGAACTCCGGCCATTATCTCCGATAATCAGATTTTGCCTGAGGGCGTTCTCAGGTGTAATCACCAACAGAAACACAGCTTCTTGATATAGTGTGAAGCTATTCTGTCTCATGTTTGAGAACAGTCACTCAAAAAAAGGAAGTATAGCACTTGCAAAAAAATAAATCTAATGCCCGTAGCGAACCGATATGTTTTCCGGGAAGGATCAACCCTAAACACCGAAAGCCTCCAATTTTTTTGAAAATATATTGCAACCCACTTGACATAATATCACATCGGAAAGGGATGCGACTCGGGAGGCATCAACCCTAAAAACAATGCTCATTTCCGTGTTTAGGATTGACCCCTCTCGAAAATGCATCCAGGTTCGCTAGGGGTTTTATTTTTTTTCTGCCATGCCCGAATAGGTGTCGGTAGCGTCTTCTAGTGCTTTCGGTAGCGTTGTTTAGCGGTCGGTTGCGCTACTGAGCACTACCACGTGATTTATATGGGCTTCATTCTCTTACTACCTTAATTTCCGTACATATATCCAGGTCGGGAGGGTAGAGTAGATGGTTTTGTTTTTGTCACTTCCTAATGAGTTCGACCAGCGTGAGAAATGTGCCAAACAGCGAGACCGATCAACGTTGAGAAAGTCCAGGTTGATTACACCTGAGAGCATGCTCGGGCGAAATCTGAGTAGCGGAGATAATGGCCGGAGGAACTCTGTCGTGCCGACGAGTCGTCGTGCGCCGCCGAGAACCCACAAACCGACAACCAGCTCGGGCAACAGACTTCCCTTCCACCTCACGCCCCAACCAGCACGTTCGGCTCGGACAAGGGGGAGGGGGATAGCGGGCGGAACTTGCGTGGAATGGGGAACTGTTCATCGGCGCGCTGACTGGCACGTTCTTCACCTGCCTCCTCGCCGAAACGCTGAACCGGAAGCGCGTTTCTCTTTCGCGTCGGCTGCCTGGCAGAAACAGGGAGGGAGGTTGTGTTGTGTTGTGCTCCGCTGTGCGTGGTTCAGCGAGCTGGGCCAGTGGATTGAATTCCAGCATTCGCTGACGTTGTTTCTCCAGCCATGTGTAGTGGGGGAAAGAGAGACAGCAGGCGAGAGAAACTGGTGTTATGAACCACCTCCGCTCGGCAACACAGCACATCAACCTTCCTTCCTCGTTCGTCCAGCTAACTGCATAGCTTCCCTCATTTCTTGCACCATATTCTCTAACCAGCCAATCGACTGTCGTCCCGCAGCAGTATTCCACTAGCAGTCTTATGACCTTCCCCTAGTCAGGTCCCAAACGGTCGCGCTGACTTCAGGCGGAATCTAATTCTGAGACGCCTCGAAAATTGACTTCAGGCGGAATAGGATAACTGTCGAAATTCGCACCCCGACCCACTGAAAACGATCCTGCTCCGACGGACGGGGCTAGGTCTTGCAATATCATGCAGCAAGTTTTTCAAGCTATGATAGGAACTACGTGAAGAGGGTTGCGGCTTCGCCCAGCAGAGCTAGGTCATTTCCATCCTCTATTAGAACCAGATTGGCAACCTGTGAGTCGATCACGCGTCGCTTCTCCACAATTTGATACTCCTTCCGCCAATTCCCTGCGATGGTCGACTCTCGTCGTCGAGCCGCATTCGCCGCCACGGCCGCGTGCCTCCTTCTCCTTACCGCAAGCTCCGCGACATCCCGAGCCGCCGCGTTCCACTTGCCGCAAGATGCGCGCGCTGGCGACACGTCCGCGCATTTTCCGCCGCTGTTTCCGCCGCAATTTCCGCGGCAGCACGACGCGCAGGATCGAAGTAGCGGCGTTGGCCAAATCGGCAGCGCGCTCGAGTCCTCCTACGACCGCGACGCGGCCTTGGAGCTAGAATCCACCTACGAGGAAGACGATGACGTAGCGCGAGCCGCCGGCATTGGCGCGACGCGTGGCGCGGGCCGTGATCCCGCGGCGCTCATCGCCACGTCAGCGGGCTTCGCGTACCCAATGGCGGCTCCCATCTACGTGGCCAAGTGGCAACGTGAGTCACAGCGTAGCGTCGCGCTGCTACGCTCAATCGCGCCTCTCTCAAACACGCCTCTCTCGTATGCCTTCAACCCTTACACCCCAAATCCACCCCCAAGTGCCTTTACTGACTCACCCTTCCCCTTCTTCCCTCTTCCTTCCTCATCTTCCGCCCCCCCCAGTGTCCGTGAGATGTCGCTTAAGGCCACATGGTCCAAGTACGCGGACCCATCCCCATCCCCTCCCACTTCTTCCCCCCCGTTTCCCCACCTCTTCCGCCGCGCCCCCAGTGTCCGTGAGATGTCGCTCAAGGCCACATGGTCCAAGTACGCGGACCCCTCAACCCTCCACACTTGCCCTCTTCCCCCTCTTCCTCCTCCTCCCCCCCCCCCCCCCCCCTCCCCCCTCCCCCCTCCCCCCTCCCCCCTCCCTCCAGTGCCCGTCATGATGTCGCTAAAGGCCACGTGGTCCAAGTGGGCAGACCTGAGCTCGTGGGACGGATCCAAGCCGTGCGATCAGTGGACGCGGATCAAGTGCTGGACAGATGGCACCATCAGGTCCGTTGATTCTGCGCCTGCAGATGAACGAACGCATCCCGTCCGTCCATTACCACTTAGGCGTTTGCCATCACGTCACATCACCACTTCGAATTGCCCCTTCGCACTACCGCTTCAGCTTGCTCCCTCAGTTGCGCCTTTTAGATCGCCCCTGTGTGTTTGAGCTTGCCTCTGTCTGTCTGTGTTCATCTGCGGTCACATGTAATTTACCCCATGCCCCATGCCCCATGCCCCATGCCCCACGCCCCATGCCCCACACCCCACGCCCCACGCCCCTCGCCCCACACCTCTCGCCCCACACCTCTCGCCCCACACCTCTCGCCCCACACCTCTCGCCCCACACCTCTCGCCCCACACCTCTCGCCCCACACCTCTCGCCCCACACCTCTCGCCCCACGCCCCTCGCCCCACGCCCCTCGCCCCTCGCCCCACACCCCTTGCTCGTCGCTGGGGACAGGCGCATGGAGATGAGCGGGATGGGCCTACGTGGCAGTCTGCCGGGGATCATTGGCGATCTCACCACGCTGGAAGAGCTGTCAGTATTGCTGCGCCCCTTGTCAAGTTGTCACCTCCCCTCCCTCCCTCCCTCCCTCCCTCCCTCCCTGCTCTCATTCTCATTCCCATTCTCACTCGCTATAGCCGTGTGCCCACGCGTCTCCCTCCTCACCAGGCCTCCTTGCGTGAGTCCTCTCCACCGCTGCCAAGTGCCGCGCCTCTTGCTCATCCCCCTGTCCTATCACCTTCTGCCCCTGCCTCTGCTTTTTGAGAATTCTAAAACTACAGGCTCACCAAGTGCCATGCCCCTTGCACATCATCCTATCACCTTCTGCCCATGCCTCCAACTCCAACCAGTTTCGCCTGTATCCCCGTTACTTGCAGCATCGCTAGCAGTTTCCTACTCACCTTACTATTCCCCGTGTGCTGCACGTGCATTGATTACTAGTGGTCCATATTGCCTCTTGACCCTCTTGGCCTGTATCCCCGTTACTGGCAGGCTCGTTACCAAGAACTGGTTCACCCACGAGTTCCCCAACCTCTCTAAGCTCGTTCGGTTGAAGAACCTGTGAGTGCACAGTGAAACAGTTATTGTTTTAGTGCATCATATATATGGATAATGCAGCAGTAAACAATGCAACAGTAGAGAAACAGCAGTAGACAATGCAGCAGTAGTTGCCCAATTTTTACTTGTCATGTGTCCGCCCTATCTTGCTTGCTCATGCATGCACCACAACCCACCATGCCCCACTGCACCATGCCCAACCGCACCCCAACCACGGCCTACCTGTACATGTAACATGTGTTCTGGCTGGTGGGTGTGTGCTGGCTGGTGGGTGCGTGCTGGCTGGTGGGTGTGTGCTGGCTGGTGGGGGCGTGCAGGCAAGTATGGAGCAAAGCAACCACTTCAACCACACCATTCCACCCGGCCTTGTGATAAAAGAGCGTTTTGAGACGTCTCCAAACACCGTCTTGCTTGTGTGTGTGTGTGTGTGTGTGTGTGTGTGTGTGTGTGTGTGTGTGTGTGTGTGTGTGTGTGTGTGTGTGTGTGTGTGTGTGTGTGTGCGCGCGCTGGTGGGTGTGTGCTGGCTGGTGGGTGCGGGCAGGCAAGTGTGGAGCAACTACTTCAACCACACCATTCCGCCTGGCC